GCCCAGAGACAAAAGACTGGGTACCAGCTTCGGCTGTGTGATCACAGGCCAGTCTTTTCCCCTCCCTGGGCCTCATCTTCTTATCTGCAGGATGAGGGACTTCCACGACAACATATTTCCTCAGATGTGGTTCATTGGCCCGCTTGTTTCTTGGGAAATTAATAGACATGGCATCTAACAAGGAAGTTTCTTGGCTAAACAGGTGTGGGAAGTGCTGGAAGAAACAAAGTCAATCTGGTATCTTCAGGCCTTCTCAGGACCTTTTGTAAGCCAATGGGCATCATGAATCTACAAAGGAGAAAATAGCAAGACTTATCTGAAACCTCTGTGTGGATGGCTACCCCTGCTCTCTGTCCTACCCTTTGTCTCTCTCTTTCTCTGCTAGGAGCCAATCATCCATCTCACACAGTCTCACCAAATCCTGAAAAAAGCCCAGGCAGCTCAAAGATGTGGGTTTTGTTGGCTGTTAAGCAGCAGCCCCTGAGCTTAGCAGAGGCTGGGTGAGCTCAGGGAAAGGGGGCCTCCCAGGGGCAGCTTAGTACCAGGCAAGGTCAGTTGGCTGCCAGCCCAGTGGAGCTCCCAGGTCCCTTGCCACTTGCCTCCTCCCCAGCTCCAAATTGCCATTCTGCTGGCTCCTCCACACCCCAGGCCCTGTTATCCCTTCTCGGAATGCCCTTTGTCGCTCTCATCCCTCCCACGGTTTGGCTGACTCCTCTTCCTTGAACATGGTCCCCTCCTTCAGGAAGCCTTCCTTGATTTCCTGGGCTGGGTCAGGTGACCCTCCCCTGGCTTCCTGGCCACACAGTGGGACTGAGTCAGAATATCAGGGCGCAAGGGGCAGCCCTCCCACAGATATGTGCTGGGACTGAATAGCCGTTCTCTCTGGCCCCTGGTGCTCTGGCTGGCAGAGTGGGAGAGCTGCCTAGGGACCTTCAAGCCCCTGGGCTCTGACATGAGAGAGCTCTGATTGCCAAGAGGAACCCACACCAGGCAGCTCCACCTGGCAGCCCTGACTGATCTTTGTTTTGAAGCCCCCTGTCTGCACTGGGGCTGCTGGATGAGCATGGGTGGGGAAAGAGCAGCATGAAGGATGCGTATTGTCTCAGGGAAGGAGGCCTCTGGGGGTGGAGAAGCTGGGAGGTGCTGAGTGATCATAATAATTTCACGAGATCATAGACTCTGGGTGTTGAGCGGGACTTAAGATTCAGTCGGCACCACACCTCTGTCTCCAAATGAGGAGGCAGGCCCTATGTGACGGGTGGGCCCAAGGTCACACGCACAGCGACTGGGGCTGCTGACTTCACAAGCCTCAAACTTGCACTTTTATGCTTTTCAGTTTATAGAGCCCCGACACAATCCTTAGCCTATTCGCTTCCCACAACCTTGTGTGTTTGGCGAAGCAGCAATATGATCTCTGAATGTAGGTGAAGAAAGTGAGGCTCAGAGAAGTTGTGTAACTTGCAAAAGGTCACACAGCCCATATGTGGCAGAGCAGAGTTTGACCATGGAGTCTCTGATGCTTTCCTCTGCCGGTGTTCTTGTTTTAAGTGGCAACGCCTACCTCCTTTGTCCGGGATTTCCCATTCTCCCCAACTCTGCCCAGGGGTAGGCTCCTCCCCACCACCCTCTGGAATCCCAAATCCTTCATGGCAGCCCATCTGTTGCCATGGTACCAGATTATGATGTCGCAGACCCTGGATGACTATGCACAGCTCCTGGGCTGTGGAGTACAGGGGCTCACAGAGGTGGGCATTGTCCAAGGGGCAGACTGGCATGGAAGGAAATAAATCCCCGGAAACAGGGGGCCACGGCCTTGAGCCCAGCTAGGGAATCACTCTGGGAGTTGGAGCCAAGGCCAGGAATGGGGTCTGGCATGGCTGGCTCTGATGGGCTTGAAAGACTGCTCAGCCCTTATGCCTGGGCGGGGCTGGTGTAGCCTCGTGCCTCTGTCAGGCTCATTACACTGACCGACTCAACACGGGGATGCTCACTGGGATCCCTTGCGAGAGCCCTTTTGCCTTTTGTCCTTGTACTGGCGCTGCACGGGAAAGCCATCATCATCCCCGCTTGCCCAGAGAGGGAAGGAACTTGCCCAAGGTCACCCAGAGAGGAGGTGGCTGTGCCAGCATTCAGTCTCACCTCTTGCTCCAAATCTTTCCATGGGGTTACATTCTCAGACATGGCCCACTAAGGTGACTGAGTCATGGTCCCCAACCTGAAAATGAGCATGCAGCCTCAGTTTCCCCAGAGTGGTCCATTAGCAGAGACAGGTTGTCACAGGCCCATGTTTATTCTGGCACCCACTTCAGGGCACACTCCAGGGGGAATACTTTATGTGGTACTTCTGAGCGATGTGGCTGATCTGCCCCATTGCCTTGTCCTGTGGGGACCTGAGAGCTATTTCACTGGTCACACTGCATTTGCTTTTCTGGGGTCGTCTTAGCCTGATAATACGGAAGTGGCTGAGGGCCTTAGTGGGAAGAGCCCAAGCTTTGGCAGCTGCCACATGGAATCAAAATCCCACTTCTGCCACCTACCACCCTCAGCTTCCTCTTCTGTAAGATTGCCGATGTGAGGAGTCACTGGGGTACTGGGTGAAGGGTGCCAGGCCAGAGCCAGGGTGGAAAATGTCCAAACCGGTCATGACAGGGAACAAATCTCTTCTCCAGAACACTGCCGTGGAACATGCATCCCTGAGGCTGCCCTTCAGGGCTGCGAAGGTGCTTTTGGCTTCCCTGGCCTCCTTGCCTGGTGCCTACAGGGCTTGGCACACTGGGGGAGGCCAAGATCACTCCCAGGCTCCCAGAATGCCAGGGAGGAAAGGGTCTTTTGATAGTGTCTGGCTGGCTGAGACCAGGGACAGAGCCCCTTCATCACCTTCTTCGTCAGGCTTACCTTGCTCTTTTGGGTTCTGCCTGTTCATCACTCACCCTGAGTTCCTGGGGGACAGGTCGGGCTGATTTCTCTTCTGTGTGCTCAGTGCAGAGCCAGGCACAGATGCAAGCTCACTAAATGCTGAAATGAAGCTCCTGTGGGATTTTCCCACCTCATTTGAGGCTTTTCTTCCACATCTGATGCTGCTGAATGTTTTATCTGGGGAGCCGTGGGGGGCGGGGGACAGAGGGATCTGACTGTGATGTCAAATTGTGGCCCTGCTGCCACCCACATCTGACCTTAGACACGTACTTAACACTTCTGGGCCGGGATTTCCTTGTGTGTCAAGGGGGGACATACGTGGCCCTTTGTCATGGCACACAGAATGTGCTTGGAGAAAGTTAGAACTGGATAAAGAAGACGTTAGGATATGGACGCCGAGCTTCTTGTGGAAGGGGTGCTCTGGTCCTCATGTTAGAAAATGCCCCAGGTGCTGTGGTTTATAACTGTACTTACTTTCAGACGATTATAGGCGGTGACTTACCAAAAGGCGGTATTGGTATCTATTACCCACACCAGCTCCTGGGTGCGGAGCTCAGGGAGGGCTGCTTGGGGACCTGGGCTGGGAGGCAGGAGAAGTTGTTCTGATCCCTGCCTTGCTGGGTTTCCCTGGGCCAGCCCCGTTCCCTCTCTGGACCTCAGAGCCCCCCCTCCCCCACCAAATCTATAGGTAGACGGATTCCTCTCATTTCTTCTAACCCTTCACAGACAGAGGTATTCCTCTAAAGAAAGTGTGAAGAAAACTCATCTTAGAACACAGATGTCCTGCAAGGATTCCACTGAAAGGCAGAAATATAATGGATTCAGGAGACCCAGTGTCTGTCCTCAAATCCCGGCCTGGCTGTTCAGGCCAGGGGGAGCAGTCACATGGTCCCAGAGGCAGCCAGAAAGCCTGTGGGAGGAATTACATAATCCAAGGCTGGCCATCGGGAAGAAGCTTCCCTGGGAGAAGGTGAGCCGAGCCCTGGAGGTGTAGGAACAGAGGCTGGGCAGCCATGCCCCCATTTGGTCCAGTGTCCCCACTGAGATCCACCCTGAGTTGGGCCCTGTGCTGAATCTGACAGAGTCCCTACCCGGAGGAGCATCAGGTCAGTGGAGGGACAGGGAGAAAGGCAAGCCCTGTTGGCCCCTGCCCTATTACCTCAGTTTTGTTACCAGCTGTGAGATCTCAGTCTGCTATATATGTCCCCTGTTTCCTTTGCTTCTAAGGCTCAAATCATAAAAACAGCAGTAGCTCTCGCTGACCGCATCTTCGGTGCCAGGACATCTTTCCATGTTCTTCATACACTGTGACTTGTTATTCCTCCTCAGCGCCCTTGTTTTCTTCTTCCCATTATATAGATAAGAAAACAGAGGCTCAGTGGTTAAGTAACACCCCCATGGTCACGCAGACCGAAAGAGGCAGAGCTGGGATTCAGAGCCCCCCGAGGAGCCTCCCTTCCAGGGTGTAAGTGCCTCGAGAGCACTTTCTCTAGGGAGACTGATTGGGTGTCTCACCCAGGAGATGCTCTTTTCATCACTCCAAACAGAACATACCTCATTAATCTTGTCTCAGAGTAATCATTTGCTTTTAGGATTCATTAGCAGCAGCTCCCTGGTGCTTCCGGAAGGGCCTGGTTAGGCAGAGCAGGACAGGCCAGTAAAGGGGCTGAGAACTGGCCAGAGGGGCTAAAGTATCTGCCGTAGGTGATCAGGGAAGGCTTCCTGGGGGCGGTGGCAGTGGAACTGGACTTTGGGGGAAGAGGCGTAAGACAGGAGAACAGGCAGTCCCTTGGAGCATGGATCCTGGTACCCTTGTTGGACCTGAGCTCCTGAACTTGGAGGCAGGGCCAGGTGTCACCTGTCTCCAGCCGATGCTCAGCAGATGCCTGAGGAATGAATAAGGGAGTCTCTCCTGTCCTCTCTTGGTTGGCGAGGCCCTCTGTGGCCCAGTAGGGTGGTGGGAGGTCATGTGGTCCTACTTTCAGACAGCGCACATCCTGGTCACCCCAGAGCCACCTGACCGTATCCTAGAAAAGCCTCCTGGGCCCACCAAGCCCCCTCACGCTCCTCTCCTTGCCCCATAGCCAAGAAGACCTGTGCAGACAGCGACTTCACCTGTGGCAACGGCCACTGCATCCCAGAGCGGTGGAAGTGTGATGGCGAGGAGGAGTGTCCCGACGGCTCTGATGAGTCTGAGACCACGTGCAGTGAGTCCTGGTGCTAGGGCTGGTGGGGTGGGGGGGAGGGGGCGGGCACTCAGCTTCCTCATCAGATCCTCCTTGTTGGGAGGATGGGAGGCTCAGTGGAGTTGATCTGTCAGACACAGCTCCATACCTGCCTTGTGCCGCACCGTCGGGGGCTCCCAGCCAATGGCCAGGCGTATTAGCCGGTACTGGTTTCTGCTGACTCCCTCACAGCCCTCTTGCAGCTTGGGCCCTGCTCCTGGGGTACCAGGAGCTAGAAACAAGCCTTCTAACCAGAAGCAGCCAGAGCATATCCTCCGGGTCTCCCCACAGCCTCCCCCACTATTTTTCTGGAGGACTCTGATCATAATTCTAGGAGTACTGCTAACAGTGAGTGCCTATTAAGTGTTTACCGTGGGCCAGACACAGTGCTAGCCTCTTTGCATGCACTAATTCATCTTCCCAAGGCAGCCTTATGAGGGTTCACTTTCTGAATTTTGCAAAGGAGAACACTGAGTCTCAGAGAGGTTGAGTAACTTGCCCAAGACCACCCAGCCAGGACTCTGAGGCCTCTGCCCTGAGCCAGCTGAGCCCAGGAGCCCCAGCATCCACGGCAGGATGGATGGCAACAGAGGCAGCCTGGGGTGAGGCCAAGGGCCCGAGCCAGAGCCCCAGGCCCGCCTCCCACACTCGGGGCTTTGTCTTTCCTTGATTTCTTTTCCAGGCCCTAATCCTCAAAGCAAACTTACACCCGGCAGGTCATTCTGTGACATTTGTTAAATTAAAAAGGAGATGAGAAGGGGGCGGGGAAGGCCCCAGCGGTCCTGAGGCAGAGCCTCAGCTGAGTGAGACCGAGACAAAAGGTTGGTGGGGAGCACGTGGAGGACGGGAGTGCTGGTGCAGACCCAGGAGTCACAATCCCTGTCCTCAGTTAGGGGTCACATTCGCCCCAGAGGCAGAGGCGGGGACAATGGAGGCCCGCAGCCCCTCTAGGGCTGTGGCTGGTGATAACTGGGTTTCTTTGTCTCCTAGCGACAGAGCTACCAGTCTCCCCGTGAGAGAGAGAAAGGGGGAGAGAAAGGGAGAGCAAGAGCGACCCCAGCCCGGGACAGGAGGCCCCCTTGTCTCCTTGCACAGCTGCCTCTGCCTCTCCTGGTCAGGCCACAGGCCCTGTCCTTTTCTTACCCCCCAGGCAGCCAACCTGTCCTGGGGCTGGTCCGGAGCTTTGTCGTGAGCTGCAGAAGGCACAAAGCCCAGCCACGCCTACTGTGCTTCTCATCCTCAGGGCTGGCTTGGATCCCTGTTTAAAGAGAAGGAAACTGAGGCCAGGATGGGTTCGGCCACTTGCCCGAGGCTGTCCCGCTAAGGAGGGGTAGAGCTGTGTACAGCCAGGAGTGTGTGTTTAGGGAGGGGGCTACGGCCACCAGGGGCTGTGCTGGGGGCACTGCAGCCAGCCAGCTGGGCTATCCCAGCCCCACTCTCAGCCCTGGACACTGGGGGCAGCAGGGAAACGAGGGGAGCCTCAGCACAGTTATTACTGGGGTCTGTCCTGCTGCCTGAGAGCTGGGCTCCCCCTTCTCCCCGTGTCTCTGTCTCATTGTGTCGATGTCCCTTTTCATCTTCCCTGCCCCAGCTCCAGGGTCCTGCCCACCCTGCTCTTTTGGACAGCCGCCCCCTTACCTGCCCCCCTGCCCAGCCTCCCTCTTGCCAGCCCTCTCCTCCATGCCCTGCCCCGTGGTTCCCTCTGTCTTTTTCCCTCTCGCTTGTCCTAGCAGTTGCTGCCTTCCCATCCCCTGGCGAGTGCAGGGGCCCTCCAGCCTCACCCCTCCTGCCTCCCAGACCTGCTTTGTACCCTCTGTAAGGCACTGTTATTTGACGGTTGATGACTGGAGAAGTCGAGGGCCTTGCTTCCAAGACACGCAGGTGGCTTGTGGCTGGTCGGCCTTCTGTGAGAAAAGACGGGCTCGTCAGGCTCTCTCTGAGGCTTGACGGAGTGCCCGTGGGAACAGGACTCAAGGCTGCACCCTGGGAGTCAGGAGGCCCAGCCCTCCTCTGGGCTGTCCCAGTGAATTTGCCGTGAGATCCTGCACACTTTCCCGTCCCTGTCTGGGCCCCAGTTTCTAACATCTCAGAATTCCAAAGACCGCGATCTAAGATTCCTGGACTCTTAGGACCCTCTTTCTCCCAGCTGGGGCACAAGGCTCAGGATCCCACTTCCTGTGCAAAGTTATATTGGTCAGAGGTGGGCATGGCCTGTGGGTAGGCCTGGAGGAGGCGGGCCAGAGTGAGACCTCAAGGGTCAGGCAGAATTTGGGGCAGCAGGAGCTGGAGGCAGGCTGGCTCACTGCTTCCCCATCAAATGGGAACCTGCTAGCCAACCCACTGCCCATTTAACTGGCGTTGCCATAGCAACCCCCACAGTCTACCAGGTTCATCTCTATAGCCTACCAGGTTCCTAGGGACTATGCCAGCTCGAAGAAAGATTACAGGCAGTAGTAAAGTGTAGTGGATTGGGTGTGTGATATATTTGGGTCCAGGTCCTGTGAGACCTCAGCCTGGTTGCCCAGTCTCCCTGAGCGTCAGTTTGCTCATCTGTAAAATGTAGTGATGGCACCTGCCCTATGGGGGTTACGACGACGAAATGGAAAAAATGTGGCAAAGTGTCGGTGCTGGAGTAAATGGCAGTGTTACTCATTACTGTATTTTGATTCCAGGCCCTCTCTCCCACATACAGCAATTTAACATTTTAGAATAAGGAAGGGGGTCTACATAGAGAGGGAAAGGGATTTGGGAGCACATCCCCATTTTTGTGCTCCCGCACTGTGTCGTCTGCCCCTGGCTAGCTGCAGTTTCTCCAGGCTCTCTTTCCTTTTGGTTCTGGGATTTGTGTCTATCAAATACGGCCAGGAGTCACAGTAGGAAAGCCTGGGACATTTGCCTAATGAAAGTGGCATTTCAGTCCTAATTATAGCTTACTTGATTGGGGACGGCTTCTGACCCACCTTCAGGCATCCGATGGGAGGGTTACGGCATGGGGAAGGGGAGGTTGGTTCAAGGTGAGTGGGTGGCAACTTTAGGTACTGCTTATTGAAAATGGGAATTGATTCATCATCTCAGAACCTTTCCACTGGAAGGGGGGACCTTACGGATGAACCAAGTGAAGTGCCCCTTCCTACTGTAGATAAGGAAGTGGAGGCCCAGAGGTTTTCTGAGGCCCAGAGGCAAGTTAGAGGCTGACTAGCTAGGAGTACTTCGCCTGAGCCCATGGGAAGGAGCTGGGTGTGACTGCCCCCCCCCCCACATGATGGGGTGGCCCCATGCCATGCTTCCTGGGCAGCAGCCGGACACAAGGAGCCCTACCGCCTGAGTCTCTGGCCCTCCTGGAGCTGGCCGTCCCCATCTGGAGGTCGTCTGCCCTTAAGCATCACATGTCCTGACACGGCAGATGTGCTCGCTCACTAAGCAGCCATCAGACACTCATTCTTTTACTCGACAGACATTTTTCTTTTTATTAATTTGTGAACTCATAAATTAGAGAACGCCAGTGGATTGGATTTCTGGGGCAGGATTCTCTGGGAGTTGATAATGCCTACAGCCACTCTGGCATGCCATTCCAGGCCCTTGCCAACTCTGGAGGATTCCTGGTGTCTGAGAGACGGTAGGCTTCTTCACGCCTGCCTCTCAGGACCTCGGGGACACCTGATAGGCCAGGGCATTCCTCGGGGCGTGTTTCTTGGAGAGAGGCTCCATCGCGGTGGGCCCTGTGGACTGTGATCCCGTGCACCCCCGGGGAACAAGACCAGGGCCCTGCCAGCCCCTTATATTTGCATTTCGTGAGATGAAACAGCGGCAGCTGGTCTCTGAGTGTGTTCCAGGCTCTGAGTGTCGAGCTTTCCATGTTTCTTCATTTAAACGAGCTACCAACTCTAGGAGATTACATAGCCCCATTTTCAGATGGAGTCTTGATGCAGAGATTGACTGGCCGAAGGACCTGCATCTTAGTAGATGGGTTTGGACCCAGGTGTGCCCAGCTCCAAAACTCATTCATGCTCTTTCTCCTGCATCATGCTGCCTGGGGGCCTTTGGCTTCAGTTGTCCTGAATGTGGACATCAGGCAGCCATGTTGCAGACCCTACCTAAGTAAAGGCCCAGTGAGCCTCCTTCCTCTTGCAAACCCTCTCCAGCGTGGAGGTGCCGGGGGCACCAACAAGGCCTGCTTTTCTCACGGGCAGTGGTTACGTGTGGTAAGTTAGGCAGTGTGTTTGGACATAAGAGACCTGGGCTGGAAGTCCAGCTCGGCCTCTCTCCACAAGACTTTAAGCAAACACCTTACCCTCTCTGGGCTTGGCTCGCCTGGTCTGTAAAATGGAGGTAGTCACAGCACTCCCCTCCCTCATGAGGAGATCCTGCATATCAGCGCTTACCCAGACCAGCTCCCCAGGACTAGGCAGTGAGGAGGCCTGACCCCGGAGCCTGCAAAGTGAGGTTCCCATTCTAGCTTCGGGGAAGAGCCGTATGACAGCAGAGACGGTCAGGTTCTAGGAGGGAGGGGTGGTTGGGACACCTGGCATCCAGTAGCCTAGGCGGTCCCTTCCCCTCTTTGGACCTCTGTCTCCTCTCACTATAGTGGGTGCTCCTCGATGTGACCTCTTGTGTCCTCACCTTCCAGGACGGTGCCTTGGCTCTTTGAGGGTAGGAGGGCTGGTGTCAGGCATTGCTGAATCCTCCAGAGCCTGTAATTAGAGCTGTCTATTTAAGGACGTGGCAAATGTCTTATTAATTATAAAGAAAGGAAGCAGACGGATTGTTTAATCATTGTCCTTGCTGAAAGGTTATGCAATTAACTATATAAATATTCATTAACAGTTCAAGCAGCTGCCTGCTGCACTGGGGTCTGCAGAACCAGGCCCCAAGAGGTGGGGAGGACGGTCAAGGGCCATTTCAGTCACCTGGGCGTTTGGGTGTAGAGTTTGGGGCTGGTTCAGGCTACTTCTCTACCCCCAGGAGCATGCAGGGCAGGTTCAGTCAGAGGAACCTGGACTCCGCCTCTCACTTGCTGTGCATCTTTGGACCAGTTCTTTGGTCTCTCTGAGCCTTTTTCCTCCTCTGTCAAATGCAGTGCTTACCTGAAGGACTGCTACCCTGCTCTGCTCTGGGGGTACTGCTGTGATGATCTCTGGAGTTGGCACGTATAGCCTGAAGGGTCTGCTCACCTGGGAGGTTGCAGGCCGCATGGGAAATGGAGTGGCCTGACACACTGTGGGTGCTGAGTAAATATCCAACCATCCTTCCAACTCCCCCGTGAAGTTCCGTTTCCTGAAGCCTGGCTCAGGGATAGATGGTCACCTTGTCCCTCTGTCTCATTGCTGTCAGGAGCTTGAAGGCACACAGAAGGCCTCTGTCACTCTTACAGGAGTGAATTTGAAAGAGATGAAATATTCTGTATCTTTTAGACTTGGAGAATGTTAACCCAGTGATTCTCAGATGCGGTGCACGGGAATCACCCAGGGGTTGAGGGGAGTTACTGAAATGCAGATTCCTGGGCTGTGCCCTCAAAGTCTGGATGCAGTCTACTATGAGCTGGGCCCAGGAACCTGCATTCCAGCAGCCCCCCCATAGCCCACCCTGCAGTCAGGAGTCTGGGAAACACTGGTCGGCTTCAGATCCCTCATGTGCTTCCAGGGGTCCTGTGGTGTGCGGGTGATAGAGGGGCTCTGGAAGGGCCCCACCTCCCAGCCGCCAGACCTCCTTCACCACCCTGCACTACGGCCCCAAGGCAGCCTTTGTAAAAGATCTTGGAGAGTCCACACTCTCTAAGGCTTTACGCGACAGTTATTTGTGAAGGGGAATTTCTAGAAAATGAATCCCATGAATCCTGTATTCCCAGTGGGTTGCCTCCTATTTCACGAAATGTATTCCTAGGGAGAACTCTGGGGTCCCAGGTACTTCTTTTCCTTGGCATAGTAGTGTCTTGGGGGCCCTGCCTCCAAAACCTGCCCCCTACCCCACCTTACCCCTTTTCGCCATTTCTCGTGCCCTGCCCGCCCATCTATGAAAGTCAGAGAAGGGGAAACTGGTCTGAGATGAGGGAGCAAAATTGAGGGGGAGGCATGAGTGACCCCCCACACTGGCAGGTGCAACAGACTGTGCCAAGTGTGTGGCGTCAGACACAGCTGACTCTGAGTCCTCACTCGGTTCTGAGCAGCTGTGTGACTAGCACCCAGTGCTTACCGCCAGGTCTGGTACCCAGCAGCACTCAGCAGATACTCACTGAGTGAATAAACAAGTCCTCATCTGTTCATTTGGAGAATTACAGTGGAGAGTGAGCACTGGGCTGAGCGTTCTTCTAAGTGCCTTATAGACATTAACTTGGGGAATAGTATCATTCCCACTCTGTTGGCACCAAGGTGAGGACTGTTGACTTAAGGTCACATAGCCAGTGAGTGACCAAATTCATGCCCAGGAAGCCCAGGGTTCTAGAGCCCCTGCCCTCGACCTCCAAGCTGGAGGCCTCGACATAATCCTCATCCTGCTGGGCAGTTGTGCGGATTAAGTATCTAGCTCTGTGCCTGGCACATCTGAGCGACGACTGAGTTTACACCCTGGAAGGTAGCAGGGAGCCAGCCACAGAGGTCTGAAATGTGTGTCTGTCACAGCTGGGTCTGTCACGTGGGTCATCCTGGGACGCTCAGGATGAGAGCTGTCCCCAGCCCTGATCAGGGATCTCATTCTTTCTTCCAAATTGAGAATCAGCCCTGGGGCTCCAGGCCCCTGATTGAGTCAGCCTCTGATTGCTGCTGCAGTAATTATAGCTGTGTGGTCCCGCTGGGCCCTGCCGCACGCACAGCACAGCTCTCTACCATCGCTGGGGGAGGGGACAGAAGGGGGCGGGGCGTACCTGGGCAGCTGCTGGGGCCCTGGTGAGCCCTCCACATCCACAGGTTCAGATCATGGAGTCACTGATGTGCCAAACTGAGGTCCGACTGGGGCGTATTTCACCCCAGGGCACACGGCGGGGAAATGGCAGAGAAGCATGCAGGGCATGGCAATTTTGTGTTGCTGGAGCTCAAAGGGGATGTTTGGAGGGTGGGAGGTGGGGCCGGTGAGGCAGACAGGGGTGGCTGGATCGAGGAGGGGCTTGAGTGCCAGGGACCAAGGGCCCTTGGAAGGGTGTTAGGCAGGGAGTGGTGAGAATGGAGGATTCCGAGGGTCTTAGGGGCAGACAGCGGCTGCTTCTCGGATGAAGAAACTGGGACCCAGGGCAGGGAGGCCCTGACGGATTCCCAGGGCCTCAGACCGGGTGGCTGGAGTCAGGCGGGAGGACTGGTTGGCGCCATGCCCCATGTCCCCCTTGGCTAAGCCATGCGCGCACATGTGTCTGTCTCCACAGCCAAGCAGGTGTGTCCTGCAGAGAAGCTGAGCTGTGGACCCGCCAGCCACAAGTGTGTGCCTGCCTCGTGGCGCTGCGACGGGGAGAAGGACTGTGAAAGCGGAGCGGACGAGGCCGGCTGTGCCACCTGTGAGTCGGTTAGGTCCCAGGGTCTGCAGGGTGGTCAGGCAGCCTCGGGGAGCAGTAGCCCCTTACGGGAGGGGACTTCTCTCGGGGCTTGGGGGCTGGAGAGCAAAGGGTAACGATCAGGACACTAGTAACGGCCAGGCGCTCCGGAGAGACATTTCCTGCTTTCATCCTCACAACCACCGCATGAGCAGCCATTATCATCCCCATTTTATGGGTGAGGAAACTGAGGCTCAGACAAGCGAGGAAAAGTGCCCAAGGCTGAGTGGTGGAACTGAGATTCAAATCCGGCTCTGGACACCCAAGCCCAGGAGTATTTTTACCATATCTGACATCTGCTCATCCATTCCATCCGTCTCCACCGACCCCCGAGCAAGGGCAGGGGGCCAGGGCCGGGCCTCGGGAGTAATGGTGGCCTCCCGGGCCAGGGTGCTGGTGGTGCTGGGGGGCGGGGGGAGGGGCAGACTCCTGAAGTGTGAAGGACGTCTGATGCTGAAATCTCAGACTTGAGCACGAAAGTCACAGGGCGGGAAGACATCCCCAGCAGCCTCAGCAGGAACAGATGGAACTGGTCACTGGGGCAGTTCCACATCACTGAGCTTCAAACACAGGATTATCTCCTTCCCCGGGAGCAGGCCAGCAGGTCCGGGGACAGTGGGGCTATGCAATTGGATGGATACCTACTGTGTGCCAGGCCTGGAGCCAGGCTCTGGAAGGGATGATGAGGTGAATCCTACATGCTTCTTCCTCCGGGAGCTCATGATTAATAGGAGAGACAGACTGGCTGTCGATAACTAGGCTGCAAGGCTGGGCTGAGATATGGGTGGTTTGAGGTATTATGGGGTATTGTGTGGGCTTTTGCCAGTTACTCACCCACCACTGCCTCCCACCGCACTCCCTTCTCCAGCCTCTATATTTACATCCTATCCATCCTCCCTGGCCCAGGGGAAATGCCATCTCTCCGGAGGCTTCTGAGTCACACAGCACTCTAGATTCCAAGTCTGGAGTTCTGATGTGCCTGAAGGAGGAAGCATCTGGGTATGGGGGGAGATCCTGGCCGGCAGTTTCAAAGCCCTAGTGATGGCACTGGCTTGTTTCCTCAGCTGTGATAATTTTGCGGGGCTTCGATGGCCAATGAAAATCCTCTTCCCTCCTTACCCCCCCCCCATAATCAGATGCTTCCTCAGCTCTAAGGGTCATCAGCTGCTATTGCACGGGGTGGCAGTATCTCTAACTAGGCCATATGGTGACAGGCATGTTCCTTGTTAATTATGGGAGACAGGAGAGGGTGGTTCGAAGGTCTTACTGGACGTCTCTGCTACAGCTCCCAACCACCTGGGCAGAGGAGAAAGAATTCTTCCTTCTCTCCCTCCACAGAGCTGCTTCCAGTTGGGAGTGCTGGGAGTGGGGTCTCTGGATGCAGGTCTGAGAATATGGCTCTTGAAGCTATTGTCAACTTTAAAGCCTCAGGGAGAGCTCAGTATAAGGAAGTGACTTAGTGAGTCCTTCCCCCCAGACACGTGCAAGCTGAGTCTGGCAGGAAAGTGAGGAGCTAATCTAGGCATCTGCGTAATCTTGAGGGGCAGACATCACAAGGTAGTATATGCTTTCCCCACCAGTGCCTCAACATCCCAAAAGCCCAGAAGGGGGGAAAATGCAGCTGTCAGAAACTTGATAGAGCTGTCAGCAACACATGATGAGCTGCCTACATTGTGAAACTGAAGACATCATTCTATTTTATGTTCAATAACAATGAAAACTGACATTTTTCTATCAGAAAATAAAAACAGACTCTTGGTGCCCCCAGGTGGAGAGATCTGGCGCTGCCGCCACCACGTTAACCCAAGGCTGCAGCCCCCAGGCCTGTCCATGGCCTCGGTGTAAGGAATGAAGCAGGGAGGAGACAAGGAGGTCACTGCTCTGATAACTGCCTACAGTCCAGGAAAGGAGGAGCAAACCAGAAAGCTGAGAGGGGTCAGAGTAGGAGGGAAGAGCCCCAAACCTGGGTTCTGGTTCTGTGTGACTCTGGGCAAGTTGCTCCTCTCTGGGCCTCAGTTTCCCCACCTATAAACTAGCAGTTGGGCTGGTGGTCTCCAAAGCCCTCCCAGCCTCTGAGCTGAGCAGCTCACTAGAGAGAGGAAGCCCAGGGCCCCAGGCAGGGCCAGTGACCTGTGCCCTTAACTACTGCACATGCACACCCCCACTCGCCCGGCATCCATTCACTCCACACCCGCCCCGTGCAGGGACCTCTGTGCCAGGCCCTCCGGTCGAAGCTGGGTCAGTCTCAGAGCCAGTCCCCAGGCAGTAGTTGTGATGGAAACAGGACATGAGACCCAGACACTTGAGCATGCTGTGAAGGGCACACAGAAGGAGAACAGAGGGAGAGGGAGGCTTCCCAAGTAGGAGCGCATACAGTGTGTTATAAAAGAGGTGGACTTCGGGCCCCTGAAGGATGAGAACTCGTCACTGTGAAATGCAGAGACAGTGGTGGGCAGGAGGAGACAGGAGGTGGGCAGAGGGAAGAGCTTGGGTGAAGGCCTGGAGGTGAGGAGGTGGGCGCATGGTCTATTATGGGTGAGGCCAGGGTGTGTGCGGCCGAGGTGTTTGGGGTAGGACAGTGGCTCTGTGCCAGTGGCCTTGGATGCCAGACCAGGGGACTGAGCTGGGATGGTGCAGGCACATGGGCGAGGGGCCTGAGCCGTGCCCTCAGGAGACAGCCCCAGACGCCGTGCCTCGGGGAAGGGTCGGGTCCCGTCCGGTATCATTTCCTGGGAACATCACAAGGCCCTTGGAGACAGGCACCGCCCCGCCGCAGAAGCGCTCCCAGCCCCACCGCAATGCTGGCCGCGGCGGGACGGGAATGCTCGCTCCCAGTGAGGCTGCGAGGCTCAGGGAGGGGCAGGCGCGTCGCCCCAGGTCCCCCTGCATGGCCCCGGATCGGAAGCCCCCCGCTCCCCCCCCACCCCCCGCAGGGCGCCTGCGGCCCGAGGTCGAGGCTCAGGGCCCCCGCAGCAGGGCCGACCGGCTCTCTGTCCCGCGCAGTGTGCGCCCCGCACGAGTTCCAGTGCAGCAACCGCTCCTGCCTGGCCGCCGTGTTCGTGTGCGACGGCGACGACGACTGCGGCGACGGCAGCGACGAGCGCGGCTGCGCCGACCCGGCCTGCGGGCCCCGCGAGTTCCGCTGCGGCGGCGGCGGCGGCGGCGCCTGCATCCCCGAGCGCTGGGTCTGCGACCGCCAGTTCGACTGCGAGGACCGCTCGGACGAGGCGGCCGAGCTGTGCGGCCGCGCGGGCCCCGGGGCCACCGCCGCGCCCGCCGCCTGCGCCGCCGCCGCCCAGTTCGCCTGCCGCAGCGGCGAGTGCGTGCACCTGGGCTGGCGCTGCGACGGCGACCGCGACTGCAAGGACAAGTCGGACGAGGCCGACTGCCGTAAGCCCCCGCCGCCCTGGTTACCTGGGTTCCGGTGGGACGCGGGCTTGGGGAAGGTGGAGCCCTCGTTGGAGGCCCCCAGGCTCCTAAGTTGCGCAGCTCAGGTCTGAACCCAGAGGCCCAGGGTCTTCTCTGGTCCTGCCCTCCCTGTCCTGCCTCCCACCCGCTGCCCTTCCCCATTTCAGGCATTCACCCGCTAGCCCCCGCGCCAGAGACCTCCGAACGCTCAGGGGTTGTCCCTGCCTTTCCTGCCTGCTGGGCCTGCTTGTCCTTCATGGCCTCAGCCCTCCCAGCTGAGCTGGATCTCTCCCCCTGGGCTACCCTGAGCCACCCTCTCCTACAGCACAGCCTATGCTGTGATGTCATCTGTTCATTCCTCAACCTCCCTCCCGCCCCTTGAGCTCCTAGAGGATGGGGAGCCTCCCAGTAGTCTCTGGGTTCTCCACGTCCCACATAGTGCCCGGCATGCAGACGGCGCTCAGGAAGGGTTTGCTGAAGGGATGAAGTCATTAAGTAATGAACACCAACACTCAAAAGAAGGCCATGGGTCTGTTGTGGGCAGGTGGCCCTGGGGAGAGGCGGTGGATGAGGAAACAGGAGATCTGAGTTTCAGTCCTGGCTCTGCCGGCCAGAGTGCTGTGTGATCCTGGGTGAGGCCTTCCCCCTCTCTGAGCTTCAGTCTCCCCATCTGTACACTAGAAGTGCCTTGGTCAGGTGTCCTCTGAGGACTCCCAAGCTCAGCCACTGGTTCTGTTCTTGCTGAGGGTGGATATGGGCTGGGGCTGGGGGCTGCGCGAGGAGAGCTGTCCCAACACCACATTGGCCCTGACCCTCCCTCTTTGCCCTCTTCTGGCAGCTCTGGGGACCTGCCGTGGGGACGAGTTCCAGTGTGGGGATGGGACTTGTGTCCCTACGATCAAGCGTTGCAACCAGGAACAGGACTGTCTGGACGGAAGTGACGAAGCTGGCTGCCTGCAGGGTGCGTGGGGTTGGAGGCAGAGGGGCGACACCCTCTCTGAGAGAGCCCTGAGCTCTCCCGGCTCCAGAGAGAGCAGAGTTCGGAGAGGTCTCCCCTTGGTCCCTAGGATGTGTCTTCCCCAAGAGCATCACTTGTTGCCCCCAAATTACCCAGATTTACTCCCTGCGGTCCTACTGGCCCCAGAACACGATTTTAAAGGACTTTGCAAAAGCTAAAAGAGGCCTAGGGGGACATGAGAAGGCACTGCAGGAAGTCCATCCCCACCATTTGTCCACTGCCCAAGCCTCCGAGTGGCTTCCTTCCCAGCATAAGCTGAGCCTCCGTCCCCAGGGAACCCCCTTCATTCTCAGATGATTCTCTGGTCATCACTTCCCACCTGCAGGAGCCAGGACCCTGACCATAGGTCATCTGGGGAAATGGATAAAAGGTTGGGCAGTGAGGTGGCCTCCCCTATGCAGGGCCTCTAGGGCACAGGTGCCTCTGAGGTGGTCAGTCCAGTCCCCCGGGTCTCTGTAGGGCTCCTGCTTTCCTCTCTCAGGGCCCAGTACTGCCAGATCAGGCACAGACCCCGCACCCCCCCACCTCGCCCAGCTAGATGATGCTTGGGTATCCTGATTATTCCTGGGGTCCTGCCCTTCTGAGAGCAGAGCTCCCACCAGCCCTGTGTTCAGCTGTCTGTCCTGGGTCCTCTAGAGACTAGTGGGGACTGGGGCTGGAGCTCGGCTTGCCTCCCATGGACCTAGACCAGCCTAGCCCTCCCTGCCCAAGGTCTCACAGGTCCTGTCCACTCTCTTGTCCGGCCCGACAGAGTCAACATGTGAGGGTCCCCGCAGATTTCAGTGTAAGAGTGGCGAGTGCGTGGACGGCGGGAAAGTGTGTGACGCTCAGAGAGACTGCCGGGACTGGTCAGATGAGCCTCTGAAAGAGTGTGGTACAGTACCTGTCTCCTTCTGGCTGCTGGACTGACCCCCACCCCCCCAGCCCTCTCCTGGCATCCGGTCCGAGGCCCATGCCTGCCTCTCTGCACACATTTTGTTCTGACCCTCTCTCTGGACTTGTGCACTGTCCTGTGGCCTCAGGCAGGACTCTGCCTCTGGGGCCTCATTCTGCATCTCTACAAATCGAGCTGCCTTTCCTTTCCAACCCAGATGCTCAGTTATGCTTCCTCTCACAAACTCGGCCTCTTCTCCTCACTCCTTCCACATTCAGATCTCTTGAGTGTGTGCTCCCTCTGAAACTTTCCTCCTCAATGGTTTCTGCCTTGCTGACCTCACCAGGGCCCTGGCCTCTGAGGCCTTCCAGCCCCCTGCAGGAATCCCTGCAGAGGGAGAGGTAGGGGGACAGCAGGCAGGGAGCCAAGTGAGGTGCGTCCCAAGGCCACCTGGCTCAGGCCAGGCCTGAGTGAGGGTCAGGCAGACCCAGTAGCAGAAGGCGGCACCATTCTGAGCCCCAAGGAGCTTGGACTTTCTGGGAGACAAGACTTAGAGGCTGGGCACGAGTAAGGGGCGGAATGAGGCAGCTATCCTAATGGCTAGAGCTGTCAGGGTGGGTTCCAGGCTAAAAAGAATGGGAGAGTCTGGGCTGTAGGTGAGGTGGGCATCCCACAGAACATGCTGGAAACCCAGTGTGGGCTCCAGGAAGGTTCATTTCTGAGCGCAGGGGTTTGGACAGAGAATTCCTGGGAGGACAGAGCCTAGATCAAATCCTACCTTCCTGACAGACCCGTTTTCACTCAGCACCTCCCCTCCTGGGCACTCCAGGGAGTTTCTCTAGAACTCCCCAGAAGCAGCATGTCTCCACCCCTGCTGGAGATTTTAAAATGGGGATTTTGAAAGGAAGAGTGGTTGGGTGAGGGTCCCTCAGCTCGCACCTGAGCTGGCAGGACAGACACTCCTCTTGGGCCCTCCTGCTCTCTCAGAGGCCCTGCCGCGAAAAGTCCTAGAGGGAGGAACCCGGGCAAAACATAGGGAAGTAGGAGCAACTGAGCCTAGCCCCCCACCCCACCCAGACTTGGAGTTAGCCAGGGACTGCTAACCTGCTAAACCTCTTCTTTCTTGTCTTTTGCACGACACACCTAAGAGCAGTATGTATGCATGTATTTGTGTCTCTGTGAGGGGGAGAGGCCAATGTCTGTGTCCATGGCTCCTCCTCCGAGTAAGGCAAGGGAACGGCTAGTCGTGTCTCTGTGGGTCCCTGCATCTGTGTGACTGTGTCTGAGGAGTCCCTGGGCCTGCCGGTGCCTCCACACGTCCGCTGGTGTGTGTGAGCATGCATGCAGGGACGCGCATGTGCTGGGGAGAGTGACTCTGCCCCTTCCTTCCATGGCGGCTTCTGGACCACCAGCCCCCTCCTCCCCTGCAGGCACCCAGCAGAATCACTTCCAGGCTAGATGAATTGGGAAGGCCCAGGGGATCCCCTCCGGCTTCTGGCTTGGTGCTGGCCTTCCAGAGCAGGGTCAACAAGGTCTGGACCCACTCTCATTCTCTCGCCCCGATGCACCTCTGCACTAGAGGACTCTGTGCTTTCCTCTTTCAGAGAAACCTGAGCCACTTTGTGCTCTCCCTTTTCCCTTTTCAGAGCCATTCTACATGTGCTAGTCTGTCAAGTGCTCAGTAAATACAGCTGTTGAGTTGCTGCTACCTACCGGGGGGGGGGGGGGGGGGCGGGGCGGGGTGGCAGCAAGTGGTGCATGAATGAGGCAGTGAGTGGTGAGCAGATGGATGGATGGCACTGAGGGAATAATACAGTAGGGAGAGGTCAGGGAAGGCGTGGAGTGACAGAAGAATCCTGGAGGTGGTGCCCCTTCAAAGCCTTCAAAGCTGCCGTGGCTCAGCCCATCCCAGGGGACTCTGGGCTGAGTCCCCCCCCTCCCCCCAGACTCTCCGGTCATGGGGTTGCTGTGATCTTGTTCTTTCAGTTACACCAGCATCCCGGGGAAACAGGAGGAGGCCCAGGGGTAAAGGGGAATCATCCCTCTGCATGGCTCAGGCTGCAGGTGGGGCACCCACAGCTGTGCATGGCCTGGGGTGGGCCACTCAGACCAGCTGTGTGCATGGCCACAGCTGGCTTAGCTCAGCTCTGCTTGGCCTGTCTGGAGTGGCGGTGCATGAGCCCAGTGGGTAGAAGGGTGGCAGGGCACCTTCTCTTGGCTTGCAGATTTAACCTGTGATTCCAAAGCCCAGAAGATGCTGTGAGAACATGGTGAGCCTTGGTGCTGGCCTCCCTAACCTCCCCTAGGACTCTGCCAGAGGGGGCGAGGGAGCGGAGGATGGGGAGACCAGATGAGCTCCTGGCGTTCCTTCAGCCCCTGCAGCAGTTGGTACTCCCAGGACCAGGCCTGTGACTGAGTGTAGGAAGATGGACAGGTGCTGAGAGGGGAGAAGGTGGAAATAATCCATCATATTCCCTGGTAGGAAAGAACTGACCGAGCAGCAGCTCTGTGTAGAAAAGCCTGGGGTCTTAGATAACCACAAGCTCAGTGGGGACAGCCTTTGTTGTTCAGACTCCCTCTGGGCAGCAGCAGACTAGCCCTGAGCCCTGTCCAGGGAGGGACATGTGTCCAGAGGAAGGCACTTGATTGGCAGGGCACCAGAAATCAGCGCTTTAAGGAAATTCTGAGGGAGCCATCAGACTCTGGCCAACCCCACCCAGCAGAGCTGGAGTGGGAGCAGAAGCTTTAGGAAGGCCAGTCTAGTGAGGAAGGCTGTCCTAGGAAGGAAGGGGGCTCCTTGAGGCTGGAGATGTTTAAGCAAGGGCATTTCAGAAGGGTTTCTTAACGTATCCTGAGGGTTGGGGGTGGTCCCCACACGATGAGGTCATGAGGAAGGAGGAGGTGAGACCCGTGTTTGTGAAAGGAGAGACCTCAGGCGGCCTAACTGCCTCCAGCCTCCAGGTAGACAAGAGCCCTGACCTGGGAGGCAAAGGACCTGAGTTCCACTCTGTCCCTGTCTTTGTGTCCGGCCTGGAGCCACCTCTTGCCCAGTCACCTGGTTACTGACGCCGTGGCTCAGTGCGGTTGGAGAGCATCCTGGCTCTGTGGCGGTCCTGCTGCCCTGAGTCTCTGCTTCAGCTCTAGGCCCAACCCCTGTCCTGCCCCCACCCTAGCCCGGGCTCCTGGACCCTCAGGGGCCTGTGTCCCTCCCCAGGGCTGAACGAGTGTCTGCACAACAATGGGGGCTGCTCCCACATCTGCACAGACCTCAAGATCGGCTTTGAGTGCACATGCCCAGCAGGCTACCAGCTCCTAGACCAGAAGACCTGCGGCGGTGAGACCCTCCCCTCACCGCCCCCCGCACCCCCCAGGCAGAGGCGGAGCGCCCTGCCGGTTCTGACCTGTGTCCCCCCCGACAGACATCGACGAGTGTGAGGACCCCGATGCCTGCAGCCAGATCTGTGTCAACTACAAGGGCTACTTTAAGTGCGAGTGCCACCCCGGCTACGAGATGGACACTCTGACCAAGAACTGCAAGGCTGTTGGTATGGGCACCCCAAGGTGGGGGGCACGGGGGCAGCCCCAAGGGGGCACAGAAAGCAGCCTGCTGCCACCTAGGTGCGGAGCAGATGGGTACACGGGTGCGTGTGCGCACACACGAAGCAGGGGGCACACGCGGCGCTCAGACTCTAAGTATACCTCATACACACAGCACATTGCATACGAACGCCCGCACAGACCCTGCCCAGAGCCACCCAGGATTGCAGAGATGGCACATGCAGCACGCGCAACGTACAGACACACGCTGGCCCGTGCAGATGACGCGCACGGCACGGGTAGTCCCCGTAGAGCGCGTGTGGTGCCCAGGCCGACACATTGTTGTAGGCACGGGGCATTTGGCAGTAAGCAAAGCAGACACGGATCCGTGTGTGCCCTCATGGGACTTATATCCTGGTGGATGGGACAGACAAGAAATCCGATCAATAAGTAAAATAGAGAGCATGGCAGATGGTGGTCATGGTTAAGGAGGAATACAACGTAGGGAAGGGGAGAGGGAAGTCCTGGGCGCGGGGTGGCAGGCAGGGCTACGGTTTTAGATGGAGCAGTCAAGGAGTGACCTTCATGAGAGGAGGTGAAGGAAGGAGCCGTGCAGTTATCTGCAGGAACCACATTTCAGGCCAAAGGGACAGCAAGTGCAAAGGCCCTATGGCCAGAGCGTGTGTGGTGTGTTCGGATGACAGCGTGGAAGCCACCGTAGCTGGGGCAAGGAGCATAGGAGATGAAGTCAGTGAGGAGACTCCGGGCAGATCACAGGGCCTTCTAGACCATTGTAAGGGCTGACTCTCGATTTCACCCCAAGTCGGGGGAGACCTTGGAGGGCTTTGAGTAGAGGAGAAGTGTGCTGTGCCTTCCATTTCCACAGGCTTCCTGTGGCTGCTTTGCTGGGAGGAGACCGTAGGGGGCACGGGAGGGAGCAGGGAAACCATTGAAGAGGTTTTGGGCCATAACCCAGAAGAGGAGACGGTGGCTTGGACCAGGGTTTTGCAGTGCGAACAGTGCGAAGCAGACAGACTGGACATGCCTTGAATCTCAAGACTTGTTCTGAAGCAACGGGATTCACATACCAATTGAACGTGGGATGTGAGAGTTAAAAAAAAAAAAGCCAAAGATGACTGCAAGGTTTTTGGCCAAACAACTGGGGAAACAGGATTGCTATTTATGGAGCTGGGAAAGATGGTGAGAAGAGCAGGGTTGGGAGAACAGTACATTGATTTGGGCATGCTGAGTTTCCAAGAAAGCTGTTCCGACATCCGAGCGGAGGTAGGAGGCAGCTGGACGTACGAGTCTGGAGCTCAGATGCACACATACAAAGCACAGTGTGCGGATTGTAAGAGGGCAGCGGCCGCAGTAAGGGACACGAAGCCTGCAAACCCCAAATGTACCACCCCAACTGCGCCAGATGCAACACACACATTAGCGCCTCACACGCCACGTGCAGCCTGTTCTTGCTGCCCCCGACTCCCCCATGTGGGGCACGTGTCATCCACACGGGGATTATGTACGTGCAGTGGAGACAACACACAACTGCCGTGTAACCACAAGGCCCGCAGAGGAACATCTAAAGTACAGTCATACAAAAATCCCAACCATCCGCACACTGGGTTCCAATCACAGACCGCTCTCAGTAGAAACGGCCTCGAGATACCCTGTAACCCAGCTCCTGCCTTCCGGAGGATAGCGTCACTGCTCTTGTTTTGGGATGAGGAAAATGGCACAGTCAGGGGCAGGGCTTTGAAGTCGGTTCTCCTTTCTCCTTCCTGCACCCGGAGTTCTGTTTCTCTGGACTCTCTGAGGGTACCACGTCCTCCCCTCCCCCCTCCCCCGACCCATCACCACACACAGGGCACGGGCCATCACCTACCCAGCCCCCAGGGAACTCATTAGCCTGGCATAGATGCACAGTGACAGGGACCAGGTGGCCTGCAGAAGCGTCAGCTGGAAAACGGGGAAAAGGCCCGTGCAGCTCCAGGTACAGGTGTTGGTACCTGGGAGTAGCCCCATACATCTAAAACCAGGCTGCAGGAGTGAAACCGGAGTTAAGTGCTGGTCCCTCACAGGCCTCTGGGGTAGTGACCCTCATACGAGTAGCCAGGAATGCCTCGGTCACTAGTGATCTTCCTAAAATATCCTAAGTCTAAAAATGACTTGTGTGTGTGCATGGGTAGTCGTGTGTATATTGCAAATATCCCATCCCTGCCACTGTTTCAGAGTCAAGTGCAAAGTCTACACCCGGCTCCCAGGACCCTTCCTGATCCCTGCCAGCCTCTGAAGCTTCATCTGTTGTCGTGTCCCCAAACACGTTTCGCATAAACTAAAGCCTCAGTCTTCAGGGAGAGGAGTCTGAGACTGCGTCTTCTCTTTTAACCCTCACCCTAGTTCTGATGTTTGTCCTCACACTCCAGCCTCAGTCCCCTTTCTAAAACGCTTAATGCTCACGTGGCCCCTTCGTGAACTATTGCAGTGGGGCCCGAAGCAGGGGAGTTGGGGAGCAGTGCATTCTAGGTAGAGGGGACCACTTGAGCAAAGGTCCGAGGCAGCCAGGCCCCGCCGTGGCTAGGTCATTAATAGGTGGTTTGGTGGCTGGAGTCAGGGTGTGTTAGGGGTGAGTGGTGAGGCTAGGCAGGGAGCTTGGGGTCACACCACAGAAGGCCCTCAGTGTAAGCCTAGGAGGAAATAGGGGGATTGTGTGTCTAGTAAAAAGAATACAGATCCTTCCGTCATACATGGTACTTTGCATCTTAAGCCCCGCCTTTTGCACTGACCCTCTCTCTCAACCTTCCCGCATGCTAGCTGGCAGAAGCCCGTCCCTGATCTTCACCAACCGGCATGAAGTGCGGAGGATAGACCTGGTGAAGCGGGACTACTCACGCCTCATCCCCATGCTCAAGAACGTCGTGGCACTGGATGTCGAAGTTGCCACCAATCGCATCTACTGGTGTGACCTCTCCTACCGCAAGATCTACAGGTGCTCGCAGTGGCAGGTGTCCCGCAGCCAGGCCTGGGCGGGGGCAGGGGCCTGATGCGGTGGGGGGGCCTCTGTGCCCCCTCCACCTCCAGGATCCCCAGGGGACAGACGGGGACTTGCGAAAGGACGCAGGATCACAGGGCATATGGAACTGCCCGGCCTTCTTCCCCGGGGCTGGCCGAGGCCCAGAGCTCTGTGGGGAGAGCAGCTTTGAGCCCACACCCCCGGCCTCTGACTGACCTCTGGCGGCCCGGCAGGGCAGTGCAAGACACAGGAACCGTTCCCCCAGGCCAGGAAGGAAGAAGCTCTGGCTTTGGTGAGGACATTGGAAGCAGCCCACGTATCTGTGTGTTGGATCCTGGGGATGACTCAGTCGAAGATGACTCAGACCTGTCACTCATAACATAGTGACATCTATTATGCTGATCCTGAGAGAAAAGTACAGAGGGGGCCTTCTACCCAATCTGGGGTGTCAGGGAACTCTTCCTGGATGGCAGTACCCCCAGTCCAGCCCTTTACTTTGTCTGACACCATAGGCAGTGGACTTCAGCTCTTCAGAAGGCCCCTCACACACACAAGGAGGTCCTCCCATAGGTCTTTCTCAAATCCCACAAGCCTGCCTCCCTATCCGGGCCCCTTTTTGGATGTCATGTCCTTTCTTTGTCCTGAGATCCACGTGGCAGGACTGCCAATGACCAGGCATGCGGTAGACTGTTAAAAGAATGATGGGATGGATGAATGGATGGATGGATGGATGGATGGATGGATGGATGGAAGCAGATATACCAAGTGCTACTCACTGACAACTAGAAGCATACCACACCCCCAATGCACAGACACGTACTCAGTTTGCACTCACACATAGAAGAAGCTAGAGCCATATCTGCCCCGCAGTTATGCCTGGAAGAGGCAGGATTTGATGATAGACTGGGTGTGGGGCCGAAGGAGGTGCATTCTGGGAGTTTCAGATTTCTGGCTTGGGAGATTGCGTGGCTGGTGCTGCCATTCTCTGAGTTGGGAGCAGTGGATCGGGTGGGGTGTTGGCCATTCAGGCTGGCTGAGGGGAGGGGAATGGGGGTGGGCAGTTTGGGACATGAGTTCAAGGTATCCGTGGGACATCCAAGGGGTGCCAGTTGGCTTTATAGTCTGGAGCTTAAGAGAGTGGTCAGGATGGGAGAGTCAGAGTTGTGGGTGGCAGTGGGCGCCGTGGATCTAATCAACCAGAGGGAGGACGTGGGGGAGGAGAGAGCCTTGGGAAAAACAGCATTTGGGAGACAGAAAGTCCTGGTAGTATTACCTCCTGAATGTCTGCTGTGTTCTCAGCCCCTTCTCTGCATTCTCACTGACACAGCCTTTCTGCAGACTCTCTTCATCCCTCACCCAGCTGCTGTAATGACCCCCGAGCCAGTCTCCCTGCCTCCATTCCTCCCCTTCCAGTGCATCAGCGCCACAGTGATCCAACGTGCCTTTCTGACCATGACCTGTCACCTGCTCAGTCACTCCCTCCAGAATAAAATCCTGACTGCCTGGCATGGCCTGCGGCCCCTGCCCACACTTACTTCCAGTCTGTATCCCACATACTCAGCTCTGCCCCCACCGAATGCCTCACTGTTCCAGAACACACACCTCTGGGCACTCGCACATGCCATTCCTTACGCTTTCTGTTCCTTGTGCTCCTGGTTGAGCTAGTCTTTCCGGACTCAACTACAGAGCCTCCTCCAGCCCTCCAGGATAATGGAGTCTCCGTTTCTTGGCTGCTAGAGTCTCTGATGCTTTCTGTAATCACGTTGTACTGATTCCCTGGCTATAAATCCCTGTCCCCCACTAAACAGCTCCTCCAGGCCAGGGGCTGTGGCAGATTCAAGCCGGTATGCTTGCCCCTGGTGGCCCAGGAACTAGCCAAGTTCCTCTAAAATCTACTGCCATAGCCTAGAGGGGAGGGGGGGCTGGGGGAAGGGTGCCCAGGCAGGTCCAGATGGACCCATGGGTAGAACACCTGCCCCATGGCCAACTCTGGTTGCCCCTAGTGCCTACATGGACAAGGCCAGCGACCCGGCGGAGCAGGAGGTCCTCATGGATGAGCAGCTGCACTCTCCGGAGGGCCTGGCGGTAGACTGGGTCCACAAGCACATCTACTGGACTGACTCAGGCAACAAGACGATCTCTGTGGCCACAATTGATGGCGGCCGCCGCTGCACTCTCTTCAGCCGTGACCTCAGTGAACCCCGGGCCATCGCGGTCGACCCCCTGAGAGGGTGAGTGTCCCACCCAAACTTCCCATTCTCCCTGAGTAGGCACTCAGTCCTCCTGTGTCTGTCATAAGAGCTATCTTGAGGACTTTGGAAGGCCCTGGGCCACTCAGACGGCCCAAGGGAAGAAAGTCTGTGTGGGCCCCTCAGACTGTTAACCCCTGACCAAGGGCTCTTTGGGCACTGGTCACCAGGGTTCTCCTGGACTCTGCCACTCACTCATCATATCATAGAATCAGTGCATCGCAGAGCAGAGTCGGGCTCTAGAGATTGCCTAGTAAAAGCTCCTGGGGCTGGACAGGGAGCTCGTTATTTCCCACATGGGCCGTTTCATTTCAAGGCAGCTCTGTCTATTAGTGGTCAGGATTTTTTTTTTTCCTCAGATCCCCAAATCTGCCTAACTTTGACTTTCTCCATTGGCCTCTGGAGTTACATCAAACGTGTCTACTCCCTGCCCCGCAGGACAACCAGCAAGATAATGAGGACCGAGAGGGACCGGGTCTGCTCTGCTCCAGGCTGCCCACCCCTGGGCCCACAGTCTCTGGGCCTGTCACCACCCAGGCTGCCCGGCTCTGGCCACACCTCCATTTTGGGGGTAGTGATTCTGAACAGAGCAGGCCCCCTCCCTCCCTTCCTCAGGAGGGATGTCCCAGGAAGGCATGGTTTTTCAGCAGCTATGGTCATATTAAGTTTACCAGGATCACTAGCTTCTTCCTATTACTGTTTCTTTCATTGTAAATGGGGATAAGAAAATCCTCTTCTTCCAGTGAGGGCGGCCGGGGGCCAGGGTGGCACTTGACAGAACGCGTGAGGCCTTGGGCAGGGACTGACAGCTGCGCTTTAATGAGCCCACACAGGAGCGCCCAGCACGGGACCAGGCACCCTACTGATGCTGAGTCATCTCACTTAACCCCCACTTCAGCCCTGCTCCCTGTGCGTCCCCCCACACGTAGTTTCACCCAGCCCATCTCCAGTCCAGTGGATCTGTCCGAGTCCCAGCAGGAAACCCATCGCACACCCAAATACAGATAATTTGAGGAGGGCTTACAAGGGACTATTTACAGAGGAGTGGGCGCAGTCTGATGCACTGTCCCTACCAGTGCACCCTTAGCAGCCCTTGGCCTGAGGGGCAGGAGCAGGGAGGGGTACCCAGGTTGGGAAGGAAAGAGGATCATCTTCAGAGCAGTAGCCAGCCAGAGGCAACTTTGTAGAGAAGAGTCTGGAACAAACACCCTAACCTCAGTCTCTCCTTCCTCCTGCTCAGACATTTTGCTGAATGCAACGGGAAGTCAGAAGGCTAGGGAGCCAAGCCCATTGATGTGGTTCACACATGGGTCAGGTTTTTGGTGTACAGAGCAAAATGGGGATGGGTAAAGAGTGACTCCACAGCTGCTAACAGAACCACTCAGCCCCCCAGCCCCAAGTCAGCCTTGGCCTGACACCAGGTCTCAGCAGAGGCAGTTTTAGAAAGAATGAAGCCTCCGGGCTTTAGAGTTCAGCTTGCATTTGTATATAAATTTGAAGGTTGGCTCCACTACTTATTAACAGTGTGATCTGAGGGAAGTCAACCCCTCTGAGCCACAATTTACTCATCTATAAAATGGGACTAATTACACTCTCTGGGGGCTGTGGTAGGGCTAGAATGAAAACATTACTTTGTCCAACAAATATTAAATAAGAGCCCGTTCTGGGTCACACATGAGCGACCTGCCAGGTACACAATGAGGAAACAAGACAGACAGCCTGCCCTCAGTGGAGCTTACAGACTAGTGGGGACAATAGATAGTAAAATACACCACACCACCCAAATGCACACAGAAATAACTGATTGTATAAGTGGTAGGAAGGCAAGAACGGGTGCTTTCAGAGATGATAACAGGGCGAACCTACTTATAGAGAACGATTCTGTACAGCAAGGACATTCGCACAGAGGGAGCTCGGGGATGGGTAGAGGCCCGAGGCTCTGCCAAAGCCTGTCCCATAAAGGCTTGGTGCCCTGGAGCCCCGTGGGGCACGTGTGGGGTTTGGAAGGGTGGGGTGGTGGTGGGAGAGACAACAAAGAGGCAGGCAGAGCTCTGTCAGCTGTGGGAAGGATTTGGGATTTTGTTTTAAGGGCAAGAGGAGAAACCACCATAAAGTTTAGAAACCAGAGAGTGACAACTGATTTCCATTTTTGAGAGTTCATTTGCCTGCCCTAGAGGGACGGGATTAGAGGGGCAGGGACGGCTGCATTTGTAAGTGCATGAGGTGAAGCCTCTCAGCTCATTGCATACCACACAGTAGGTACTCAATAAACGTTCAAGAAAGAAGAGAGAGAAACCCTGGGCCGAGTTCCAGCTGTGAGACCCCGGGTAAGCCGCCCACTTTCCCCTCTATGGACCAGGAAAGTAAGAGAGGGTTGACAAGGGCGTTTCCTGCTCTGGCCTCTAGGGCTCCGGTTAGAGCTGCCCGAGTAGGAGAGAGGGGCTCCGAGACTCTTCAGCTGAGGCTGGGTGGACTCTCAGGGAATATAGGCTTCCCCAGGCTCTCAGATGAGGGGAAGCTAACACAACTGCTAACTCTTAGATTCGATGGTTCCAATGAATTTCAGAGGCCTTCCCAGTCCCCACTGAGCACAATCTTCAACATTCAATGGGTCATTGAGACCTGTGACCCAGACTGCCCTCACCCCACCCCTTGACTAAAATTCCAGTTGAGTTCTTCTCTCTTTTAGGTTCATGTATTGGTCTGACTGGGGGTACCAGGCCAAGATCGAGAAGTCTGGGCTCAATGGTGTGGACCGGCAAACACTGGTATCAGACAACATTGAATGGCCCAATGGAATCACCCTGGGTGAGCCCTGCCTCCCCTGGATTGGGGGGCCTGTCCCACTACCTGGTGCTGACTACCATCTGGAGCTCCATGGGTCTTGTGTTTATATCCCCTTATAGTGCCAGTGCCTGTATTTCTGGATGGTTGCCCCAGGTTGGCCTCCATGGGAGGCCTGGCCTGGAAATATGGGTAGGGAAGTGGGCACAGAGGAGCAGAGATCCTGGTTGGGATCCCAACTCAAGACCCGATCCCCTGTCCCCTTTTTCTTCCCCAAGATTTGCTGAACCAGCGCTTGTACTGGGTGGACTCCAAGCTTCACCAACTATCCAGCATTGACCTCAGTGGAGGCAACAGGAAGATGCTGATTTCCTCCCCTGACTTCCTGAGCCACCCTTTCGGGATAGCTGTGTTTGAGGTGAGCCCCGGGAGGGGAGACATGGCCCTGTCAGGAAGCTGAAGCCTAGAAAAGGCTTTTCAAATAGGATGGCTGTCTGAGACTGGTCCAGATGGAAACAAAGGCACAGGGAATCCAGCTGACTTGTGTACACAGTGTGTAGGCTGCCTGCACACAGGCCTCGCAGCCTGTTGTCCTGTGCTTCCTTCCCAAGACCCCTTTCAGAGCACTTGTCACAGGTACGTTGCTAGACCACGTGTGTTTCCTCTCTGAACCCTCAGCACCTGGCACTGCGCCCCCATATACAGAAGGTACCCAATAAAGGGAGGGAAGGAAGAAGGAATATACATCTCCTTAGAATCTACTGCTGGAAATAGCCTGAGAGATGCTATTCAATTCAGCACCCTTCCACTGACCTTTGCTGGACCCTGGGGTCCTAGAAGTGAATCAGACATCGTCTCCGTCCTCACGAAGCTCCCCAGAGGGGGAAGCGTCCAGCCCCTCCTGTGCCTGTGTTCTGACCCTAACAACCTTTCTCCTTGGGGAATGAGGAAGCCAGAACCAACCAAGGTCTCACCACATCGATCTCTTCCCCTACACTAACTCTGCCACCAAGGGGAGGGAAAGCAAGGGGACAGTGGTCTCTGGTGGGCATTGGCCATATTTGCTTAGAGTGACATCACTCAGCACTGCTCTGAAATTGTGGGCAAAGCCCCACCTCCAAGTCCAGCCCCTGCTTCGAAAGACAGGTGTGGTCAGACACGTGTATGTGCTTGTGCATAGGCGTGGCAGGTACGTGTAAAGTATATATGCTTGTGTACACATAAACGCATCCGTTTACAAGCATGCATTTCTGTATGTGCTGGTGCTTGTGAATATGTAAATCCTTATAGCAAGACTTAGTTAGGTGTGTGCTTTGGTACAAGTGCGCTTTTGTGGGTATGTGTCCAGATCTGTGCATGAAGCTGCATGGCTGTACCTATAATTGTGGATTTGCCTGCAGATGCACCTGTAGGCTGATATGGACGAAGCACTGGATGCATATTTACACGTGTGTACCCGAAGGCTGTAGGAGGACCTATCAGGGAAGAGTCCTCAGTAGCTCATACATCCCCTCCAATCTTGGTCCCAGGCCCCGGCAATGGTAACAGTCATCGGACCCAACTTTGGGTTTCTCCGGGGCTCCAGGAAGCAGGCCTAGCTCAGCATTAATGAGCAGTCTTCAGGACAAAGTGCAGAATCAGCAAATAACCCTCTGTGACAGAAAGAACAAGAGTATATGCCACAGATTAGAGGCTGAGAGCCCACCCCTCCACCCCCCAGGAATTTGTGGACAGGAGAGCTCAGCGGAGATGTAAGGGCAGTTCTTGTGACAGTGGTTTGGGGCCAAGCCCTCAGTCTGAGGTCATGCCTTTAGGCTCTAGAGCTCCCATCCTCTGCATCTGTACCCCCACAGGACAAGGTGTTCTGGACAGACCTGGAGAATGAGGCCATTTTCAGTGCAAATCGCCTCAATGGCCTGGAAATCTCCATCCTTGCTGAGAACCTCAATAACCCACATGACATTGTCATCTTCCATGAGCTAAAGCAGCCAAGAGGTGAGCCTTGCCTGGCCCCGGGTCCCCTGCCCACGCCCTCTCCCTGCACTAGTCAGGCTGTATGCACGTTCATGGAACACAACGTCCCAGTGCCCCCAGGACACATGGCAGCAGCCCCTCTCGTTGGGACAGTGCTTTGCTGTCACACATTTTACCTCATTTCCTTCAGCTCTTGGTGAAATAAGGCTGGGTATAAAAACCGTGTAAAGTCCCATTTGTGCCTACAAAGAGTGGGTATTTTCTCATTTAGGAAGCTGGGGCTCAGAAAGGTAAAAGGACAGAACTAAAACCCAAACTCAGGTCTGTCTGATTCCAAGAGCTCTTTCTGCCATGAGGGAACACATCGCCTCCTTTTATGATGGGTACCCATTTTGCAGCAGTATAAGCTAATGTATCCTAGGGCCTTGGAGCAATCTGGCTCATTGGTTAGGACCAGAAGCCCGGAATCCTGCTCCTCAGGCGCCCTGGGCTCTATTGCTAGGATATATGCTCAGTCTACCTGTAACTCAGCTGTGGCCGCAGGGTGATGGTGGGAAGGCACAGGGGAAAGAGGAGATGAGCTTGGTGCCTGATTCTAGACCTGGAAGGTGAAATAAGAAAGAGACATGGCATGTGGCATAGTGGGGGAAACACAGACTTTGGAATCCAACAGACCTCAGTTTAAATTCCGGCTGTAAAATTGCTAGAGTTATAACTTGGACCAGTTTGTGCTCTTTGAGCCTAGGCGTCTGGTATCTGTCATTCCGGGGCATGCACCCACCTCTCAGAGTTGTCATCAGGACTGAAGGAAAGTGGTGGGGGTGGGGCGGGGGGTGGGGAGGAACGCCAGGTACGAGGCTGGGAGGTGCCCAATAAAAGTAGGAGAGAAGGCTTTTGGAGCAAGCCGAGTGGGAAGGACCTCATCCTCAGGAGAAGGGAGGACTTGGCATGTCTTGTCTTTGCTCCAGCACTCTCCCTCTCTGTCTCTCTGTGCCATCAGCTGCAGATGCCTGCGAGCTGAGTGCCCAGCCCAATGGCGGCTGTGAGTACCTGTGCCTTCCTGCTCCTCAGATCTCCAGCCCCTCTCCCAAGTACACATGTGCCTGTCCTGACACCATGTGGCTGGGCCCAGACATGAAGAGGTGCTACCGAGGTAAGCAGACCTGCCAGGACGCTGGCCCCTGGCAATGCGAGACCCCTCCTGCTAAACTCCTCCCTTGGCTTCTGGGACGCCATATGCTCCCAGTTTTTGTCTTTCTTTTCTGGCTGCTTGTTGCCTCCTTTACTTTCCTGGAATCCTGGTGTCTCCCAGGGTCCTTCCAAGGCTTTCTCTTCTCACTTCCAAGAAAAAAATGCACGTATACATACAACATTTTAAATTCAATTTCGGGGGTTTTTGGAGCCCCTTGAAGATCTGAAATTAAGAATCCTTATCCCTGTGGCTTCGGTTACTATTTCTATGTAGGAGACTGTGAGCTTGCCTGTTCCTCACCTAGAACTGAACACAAGACATAGAAGCCCTTTTGTGATATGACTGGGACTAATAGTTAATACTTCAACCGTATACGTTTATATTCAGTGTCCAGTCTGGATACAGGGCCGAGGCCTTTGGTTTGAGCACGTATCTGCTACATCAGATTTATGTATTGTGATTTCCAGGTTCAGTTGTTTAAAGTGGACTGAGAATTTAAATCTAGCAGTGTATCAGTATGCATGTAAAAACCCTTCTAGAGGGCGCCTGGGTGGCTCAGTTGGTTAAGCGACTGCCTTCGGCTCAGGTCATGATCCTGGAGTCCCGGGATCGAGTCCCGCATCGGGCTCCCTGCTCGGCGGGGAGTCTGCTTCTCCCTCTGACCCTCTTCCCTCTCGTGCTCTCTATCTCGCATTCTCTCTCTCTCAAATAAATAAATAAAAAATCTTTAGAAAAAAAAAAAAACCCTTCTAGACTTACATGATTTCCCCCTCTCCCAGCCTTTTACGGTGGTCTTGCCCACACCTAATTCTATAGCCTTGTTTTAATGACTTGTCTTAATCAAGTCAATGTGTGGTATAAACACAAAGTGCTTGGGATTCAGCTAAAGAAAAGGTCAGAGCCCATTCAGGAGGTTTAGGGAAGCCTTGGCATTTTGAGCTGAGCCTTGAGGATAACTTCGTAAGTATAATTCGTAGAGGCAATAAGTTAGGCATAAAGCAAGAGAATTCTCTGTCCGAGTGACCTCCGTGACATTTCCCCTCCAGCACCTCAATCTACCTCAACTACGACGTTAGCTCCTACCACAACGAGGACACGAGCCGACACCACGAGAACCCCCGGGACCACTGTCCACAGCCTCACCTACCAGAACCGCAGCACAGAGACACCAAGCCTGGCAGCTGTGGTCCCAAGTCCGGTTGGTGTCCCCAGGGCTCCCAGCATCAAGCCCTCTACCCCAAGCCCTGCGACCAGCAACCACTCCCAGCACTGTAAGGAAATGAGTTCTGCGTTCTTTCCTGACATGGGAGGGGCCTTCAGGAAGCCAGGATGGGGGGGGGTTGCAGGATATGTGGAAGAAGAGATCATACCAGAGCAGAAACTTGGACCTCTCTGAGGAAGCAGGTAGAGGTGCCCACCTATGATTTAGGAGTCTCAGGTGCCCCTAACTTGTAGAGGGTCCTGGGGGAAGCCACTTCCTATCTCTGAGCCTCAGTTTCTTCACCTATAAAGTGGGAATGATAATTACCCTTCCCCTTCCTGCTTCACGAGATTGCCTGGAGAGACAGAGGAGGTGGTGCCAACAGAAGGGCTCGCGTGCACAGCCTCTGCTGTCGCTGGGCGTGTGCCTGGCTTCACGTGGTACTGACGTGTGGATGTGGGGGTGTCCCTCTGGTCTGGAAACCTCAGAAGCTCTGGTCTCTCTTCTGGGCCCCCTCAGCCAGTTCCCCAGGTAGTAATACCATCACTATGGTCTGCTTGTGCCTCTTTCCAAACCCTGGCATGAAAATAATTATGTTCGGCACTTACGAAATCATTGGGAGCAGTAACTCTCGTGGCCAGAAATGTTCTGTCTCATTATCCAGCAAATACCTTTTTAATTGAGTCACCTGCTAGGGCGAGTTCACTTAAGAAGATAAACCATCTTTAAAACTTTTTCCCATATGTGGCCCAGAAGCCAAGCAGCTTGGTAGCACCTTTCTCATCAGGCCCATCCTGCTGGCAGAAGCTGGCTTTGCAGAGTTGAGCGCTCACCCTGAAGTTCAGAGAGGCAGGTGGCGTGAGTTCCAGGCCCTCTCGGGTGGGGCGGAGCTCAGGGTCTCCCCTCCAGCTTCCTGCTGCTCTGGGCCTGACTCTCACCGTCCGGCGCTTGCTCATGCGCAGTGAGCGGGCGGCGCTGCTACCACAGGCTTCCCAGGCAGTCCCCCCGCTTTGAAGCAGGCAAGGCTGTGCCAGGCACTGGGCGCAGGAGGCACTCTTATCTGAATTATCTCATTTGACCTTCACAGTGTCCCCAGGAGGTAGGTAACTTGCCCACACAAGTAGGAGCGCTGGGATTTGAACCCAGGATGTCTGACCCCAGGAGCCTGTGCTGTTGGTGCCACTACGTTATAGTGCATCCCATTTAATTACTTATTGAAAATAAGCTGATAATGCAGACGGACAGACCACCCAAGCAACAGAGACGAAGCAATAGATATGGGCTGGAAAAGGTATTTGCCTCGGTCAGTTTGCAACATAGAGACCTAAGTGTTCACTCCACCAAGCACTCCCCTCCCCCCCCCACCCGCAGCTTCCTAGCACATGGTACTGTGGGAAGGCTAAGGGACTCGGGGCACACGTCCTGGGTTTGGGTCCCAGCTCTGCAGCTTCTCTGTGAGTCCCCAGAACCCCAGTAAGACTCTGTTTCCCCATGTGTGAAATGAAGATAACCTCTGTCCGAGTTTTGATGGGATCTGGAAAGACTGAATTGTTGGGCATTAGCCAGGATCCTCACTTTGGAATGAGGGCAGCAGTTGGGTAGTTCTTACAGCTTGAAGTCAGCAAGGACTCGGGCTCGCGGTGCTGGAGCATCATTCTGCACATTTGTGTTTTGCAGATGGGAATGAAGGTGGCAAGATGGGCTCAACAGTCACTGCTGCGGTCATTGGGATCCTCGTGCCCATGGGTGAGTGTGGCCCCAAGTCCCCAGGGAGACGAGAAAAACCGAGCTCAGGCTCTGGGGAAAAGCACCAGCCCAGAGCACTTAGCACACTGACCTGTCCCATTGAGGAAACTGTGGCTCAGAGACTTTTTCTGCCCCGGCAGCCTCCCTGCCCACTTCCCAGTGCTGTCATTTGCTTTCTTAGCTTGGCACATAAGGCCCTCGGGACCTGGCCCCAGGCAGCCGTCCCAATGCCTCCCTGTTCCCCAGCGTTCACACTCCGAATGCCGGCCATGTGAGGGCAAACTGCCGGTTCCCGTGGGCACAGGGCTGGCGCCTCTCTTGCTCGCCACTCTCCCCAGCTCCTAGCAGTGGCTGGCACATGGTAGGAAATAAAATATTTGTTGAATTAATGAGGAGCACTGCTTGCCATTCCTTTAGTAAATTGTGCTGTCCGGCTTCCTTTCTGTTTGGTTTTCAACACACATTTATCAAGCAGCTGCGAGGTAGCAGACTGTGGTAAGTGGAGAGAAGGTGGTTAAAAATGAGTAAGACACGGTTCCTGTCCTCCAGAAGTTTAGTCTCGTTGGAGAGACACGCGTAACATAATTAATTTGATGATGACATGGGAGTCTAAGATTAAACCACAGGCAGTCCAGTGGAAGCGCTGAGGAAGTACTTAACTTGGAATCGGAAGAGAAGGGAAGTGGGCAGGGAAGGTTTCCGAGTGGAAATGATGGGTAATGACTCACGCCGAGTCAGCCCAATGAAGAAGAACCCAGAGCAATCTAAGCAGTGAAAACAGCAGGAAGCAAAGCCAGGAAGAGGAACTAGCATGGGAGAGCGGGGTGGGGGTGGGTTTGGAACTAGAAGTTTGACATGGCCAAAATACAGCATTTGGTTAAAGCTCACAGAGAACCACAGAGGCTGATTTATTCTCTCCCACCCCGCTGTTCACATAGTGTCCTGAATATGCCGTCTCTTGGACCAGTCTCATCTCTTGGGGTCTTCGAATTGCGACTGCCCCCATTCATAGGTTGATCTCCCTTGCTTGCCCACGGGCATCTCAGGGACAAGGACTTTGCCCATTTATCCTGGAAATCCCCAGTGTGGTGGTGAGCTAGTGAGTGAATGTTTTCAAAACTTCTGCACCGTGCAGGGGACTCTGCTGAGTGCCAAGGATCCAGGGAAGAAGACGACAAAAGACTTTAAGAGCCTTCAGTCAGACTTGGTCCTCAAAAGTGATGCAGGAGTGGTGTTAATATGTATTACACCGTGCTATAATAGTGTGATGCCCTGCGGAGGAGAGCGAGTGGTACTTCCCGAGAAGATGCCATTTGAATTGGCCTTGAAAGGCTTTAACAGGAAAGATGATGGGGAAACTGTGGCAGGCTGATTTTGAGTAGAGTACGCGGAAAATACCCTGAACATTGTTTAATGAAAGAGAAACCAAGCCCTTTCCTGCCATCCTCTACTCAATAGAAGGGCTTGTGTACTCTGTTTCCCTGATAGAACCCCCTCTGATATAATTAATATTTTTAATTTCTGCTCTTCTGAGGGTTGAAAGATGAGTATTCTTTCCCTGGCATTTCCCTGTGAGGTAGAGTATCTTTTCATAAGCTTAATTGCCATTTACATTTCCTCCTTAATGCATTGCTTATTCCTAGTCTTGTCTGGTTTTTCTGTTGGTTCTTGATCTTATTCTTATTTGTAGAAATATTTATACATAATGAATCTTAAACCTTTGTAATATAGGGGTGCCTGGGTGGCTCAGTTGTTAAGCATCTACCTTCGGCTCAGGTCATGATCCCAGGGTCCTGGGTTCAAGCCCTACATCGGTCTCCCTGCTCGGCAGGAGGCCTGCTTCTCCCTCTCCCACTCCCCCTGCTTGTGTTCCCTCTCTTGCTATGTCTCTCTCTGTCAAATAAATAAATAAAATCTTTAAATAAATAAATAAACCTTTGTAATACACGTTTACAGATATTCTTTTCCATACTCCCACTTGATTTTTAAATATGTTTGTGGTACTTTTTGCCACACATAAATTTAAAAAAATTTTACGTATCCGATCTGTTCATCTTTCGTGTTACAATTTTTGGGTTTCGTGTTTTGCTTAGGAAGGTCTGCCTCACTGTAAATTATTAAAATATCTCCCCATATATTTTTCTACTAAATATTATTTTATATTTAGACACCAACCCATTTGGAATTTATTTTAGAGTATGCTGTGATGTAGAGATTTAACTGTTTTATTTTCTACAGGCCTCTTTCATTTTCCCAAGACCATTATTGAGTAATCCATCCCTCTGACTTGAATTGTCATCTTTATTATAAACTACATGCCTATCCGTACTTTGACTTGCTTCTGGGCTGTTCATTGTCCTTCACCAATTATCTGTCTGTTCCTATATACTGTAAGAACAACCTCACGCTAGGTTTTAACACCTAATAGAGCATTATTGTTCTTGCAATATTTTCTTGGATTCTTTTTTTCAACTTCTCTTCTAGATAAACTTTAGAATCATCTTAATGATGGAATCTTAGTCTTTGGATATATAAGTTGATGTGGGGAGAATTCACATTTTTACAGTATTGAAACTTCCCATCCAGGAACATGACACTTCTCCCAATTTATCTGAGCCTTCTTTTATGTCCTTCTGTAAAATTGTATAGATCAAATAGGACTTGCACATTTCTTGTTAGGTTATTCCAGGCATTTTATAGTTTTTCGTTAAGCTACTGTGAATGTGTTCTTATCCCTTTCCCTTTTCTAATTGGTTATTGCTGATTAATAAGAAAGCTATTGCCTTTTTTGTTAATTCTTGATGAACTGAAGTTATTTCTAATAGTTTTTCATCTGCTTTTCCAAGATTTTCTGAACATATGGAACTGATAATACTAACACTTTGGTTTTTCCCTCTGCCCTGTGTGTCTTCTTCCATTCCTGATCTGGTCTCACGCCAAAGCTAGGTCTCTGGAACAATAAACAGTAGCGGTGGTGACAGGTGTCCTGGCCTTGTTCCTGTCTTTAATGAGTATCGATGATCACAGTATGACCAAAGTAAAAAAGTCCCTCTCGAGCAGCCTGGATAGCTGTCATCAGCCTCCACTTGAAAGCTCACGGTGATCGCCTACTATCTCGTGAAGCTGCTTACCCCATTTTTGCCCAGCTGTGTTAGAGAATGTCCTCCTTCACTCATTCATATGTTCATCAGTTGCACATCAGAGCCAGTATCTCCCTGCTGTGTCTCCTTCTAGAGATGCTCCTCTTCTTGCAGAGCCCCAGCCCACCATCCACCCTCCATCTGGGGAGAGGATGGTTTTCTCAGAGAATTCCAAGGAAGCCGCAGCGTTAGGACGAAGGTGTGGTGAAGAAATTCATTCATTCACTCAGTACACGTTACTGAGCGAGGCAGAGCGATGAAGACACAGTCCATGCCCACAAAGAGCTCAGTCTGGTTGGGGGTACACACACATAATAAAGTACAGTACTGTGGGCTGGGGACACACAGGAGGGAGCAGCTGACTGCTCCCCTAGAAGCAGAGGGGACTTCGCATTTGAGCTGGGTCGTGAAAGATGGGCAGTTAATAAAGGAAGATACAGGAGCAGGGCTTCCAAGCAGCAGAAAAAGGACTCGCAGAACCACCTGAGGAACAAGGGGCAGGAAAGCTGGAGAGGGGGCGAGAAATGCCCTGACATCTGAGCAATGGGCTGGAGCCTACCGGAAGTTCAGCATGCTGTGTCCCTTTCTCCAGCGGTAATAGCCCTGCTGTGCATGAGTGGCTACCTGATCTGGAGAAACTGGAAGCGGAAGAACACTAAAAGCATGAATTTTGACAACCCGGTGTACAGGAAAACGACAGAAGAAGAGGACGAAGATGAGCTGCACATAGGGAGGACCGCTCAGACTGGCCACGTCTACCCTGCAGTAAGTATCCCGTGCTGGAAGAATTCCTGCCTTCCTTCCTGCCTGCCTTCCTGCCTCCCGCCCACCTTCCTTCCTTCTTCCTTCCTTCCTTCCTTCCTTCCTTCCTTCCTTCCTTCCTCCCTCCCACCCTCCCTCCCTCCTTCCTTCCTTCCTTCCTTCCTTCCTTCCTTCCTTCCTTCCCTCCAACATTTATCAAGAACCTTCCATGCGCCAGACACTATTCTAGGCCCTGGGGACACAGAAACGCTGGGGCAGGTGGTTGGGGTGGAAATGTATCAGGACCACCTTGTAGCTGGAGGCTGTTCCTAGGGTAAAGAAACCAAATGTCCTTCTTTCTGCTGAGTACGTTTTCAGAACCTTTGGCCCGGAAGGGTAACTGTGGCCATGCAATTCAGATGTGTTCATTTCACACAAACACTGTGTGCTGGCTGTAAGCCCAGCGCTGCCCCGGATATGCGCTGTTCACAAGTAAGGAAGGAATGTACCCGCTTCCGAGGAGCTGGTGGGGGGTGAGAGTCACTTACTGTTGTACAGCTGTGTGCGTAGTGCATTGGTGGAGCTCAGGAGTCTCTCTTCCAGGAAGCTTTCCCTGGTTTCTTTGTTCTTCCACAGCCTCTCTCCGTCCCAGCACCTGTCACACTGTAGTCAACTTGTCTTTTTGCTCATTGGTCTCCCCACTAGACCGTGAACTCCTTGAGGGCAGGATCGTTCAATTCATCTGTTTCCCTGGGGCCTAGCACAGCATAGCATACTGGGAGCCAGTACATATTTGCTGAACAAACGCTGAGGGACCATCGACAAGGGAGCTGTTAATTCTGTTTGGGAAACCAGGCAGGGAATGTCTCACAGAGGCTGTGATAGATGAACTGTATCCTTGAAAGGTTAATAGCAGTTTTTCAGCAAGAGGAGGAGGAAAATGGCATTCCAGAAAGAAGCAGGTGCAAAGGCTGAGGGGTACAATAGGGCCTGGCTTGTTGGGGGAGCAAGGACCACCAAAGTGTCTGGAGCAGATGTCATGGTCGTACAGCAGAGTCAGGGGGCTGAGTGTGACCTCATAGGTCATCCAGTCCATCCCCCTGTCAGGCAATCAGCAGCTTTGATCACCCACTGTGGGCAGAGCCCTGTCTTGGGGAGACCAGAGAACTGGAAGACCCAGCCCCTGCCCTCAAGGAGCTTTTTGTCTTGCCGGGGGAACCAAGGTCACAGCTGCACCAACTCCCGAAGAACCCTCTTTCCGAGCTGCCTGTCGTCAAGTGCAAGGTAGGGCAGTGCCACTTTGAGTCTGAGGGGCTGGTGAGTGAGGGCGTGAGCCTAGGCAGGTGCAGCCAATCCTAGAAGGCGTTCTGGTCCTGGAAGGCTGCAAATTGTAAGCTGGGTGTTGGGGCAAAGAGGAAAGATGAGTTCACTGTAGACGGAGGAAATGGCCTGAGGAAGAAACAATCGAGTATGGGGCAGAGCAGACTGCCTTGCCATGGAAGCACATTATTCATGAAGGGGAGGCATGGGAAATGAAGTTGAGCAAGTGAGGAGGGCTGGCAGATGGCCTTGAGACTTAACCTCGGCCAATCGCACAAATAGGTGCTTGACCAAGTTTTACAGATTGGGGGTGGGGGGCAGTGGAAGAAGCGTTGAGCTTAGCCTGAGGAGGTGGCTCCCAGTTTCACTGCTCCATAGCCTTGTGGCCTTAGTCACTTCTCTCTGCTCACTTCTATTTGTAAAATAAGAATGATAACCCCCATTCTATCTGCTTCCTAAATCCATAGCGTTCAAGTGAGACAGCACGCGTGCGAGAGCTTTTGTGAGTTACAAAGCACTGTACACGTGTCAAGTGGCGTTGTGTCCCAAGGAGCAAATAACCCCTCTGGAGGAGCCATTCCTGAGGCATCTAAGGCCCGAGGAATAAGCTCCTGCCGGCTGCAGAGAAATAGAGTAGGAAAGGGAGGAAATGGACGTTTAGTGAGAACCTCCTGTGTGTCAGACACTGCTCGGTGTTTTATGTACATTTCCTTGTGTAGTCTTCACAGTAACTTTATAAAGTTGATATGATTAGCCCCATTTTGCGGATGAGGAAACTGAGACTAGAGAATTTGAGTAATTTGCCTAGGGTCACAACTAAGAAGTGGCAGAACCAGGACAAACACTCCAGTCTGTATGTACACAAAAGTCCATGCTCTTTCCACTTACATCATGGGGTAAATAGCCTGGGAGCTCTGAGAATCAGTATCCTCAACAACCTGTTCTCCCCGCTGCCCTTTTCTCAGGTAGCTCCAGCATCACTGCCTTTGGTCTAGAGGTCTGTCTTGGAGAGAGAGGGAGGGTAACCGGACTAGAAGACGAGAGTCTCAAGTGTCTGTGCTAGTAGAGCAAGGCCATGGCGTTCATGCAAAACCACAAATAACCCAAAGATGATTTGAAAGGTAGTGGGGTCACTTTTTATTGTCTGTAGACTGTCCACAGATGGGAAGTGCTAGTCTGGTTCTATTTTATTATGCTGGTCAGGTTGATCTAGAATACTCTGGACCCCACGTGTGTTAAACACTCTGCAGAGATGCTCTCGTTTGGTTCCTCAACAACTCTATGTGGTAGGTCCTGTTCTTACTCCCATCTGACAAATGGTAAAACCAAGGCTCAGAGAGGTAAAGTGGTTAGCCCAAATTCACTTAGCTAGGAGGAAGATACTGAAACACCAGGGTCTGCCCAAAGGAGTGTACCCAGGAAATGGAAAAGTGAGAAACAGGATTACAACAGACCCATTTGGGGAAAGCCATATGTGTAGCCTGTAGGAGAAAACACTCAGAAGGAAAGGAAGGGAACTCAGACACTGTCTGCAGATTTCAAGGGTTGTCTGTATAGAACTCTCTAAGAGAACCGGGGAACATCAGAGTATTTAGAGAAAGAGATTTCTTGTCGGTAGAGGAAAGAGGTTAAGTCCACTGTCCACTCTTCCAATGGAATAGACCAGCTCAGGGGTTAATGGGCTCAGCCCACTAACAGTCAGCCATTTGTGACAGGGGAAGTCTAGCATCTAATGACTAAAAAGTAGGGTTGAGGGAAAGAGGGATTGAATTTAATTGACCTGTATTGCCTTCCGATTCTGTATAATCAGTTAAGAGGGGTGCGGCAGATCGCCTGCCTAATTGTGACTCACAAGCTAGAGACAAGTAGCTACTGGCCTGGGATTAAACATTTGCCAGAGCTAACCCACTAATGTTGAAAAAACCTAAAATCCTCTAAGGAAGGACTGAGAAACTTGAGATCTCCCCAGCACTCCTTGACAACAAGGCAGAAGAGAATGATGGAGAGAGCGACAGCTCTGGAATCACACGGGTCTGGGTTCAAATTTTAGTTCGCCCACTTGCTATGTGATCCAGGACAAATGTTAAAGCTCATTGAGTCTCTGTTTCCTCATCTGTAAAATAAATATGACAAACCTGTCTCGGGGTAGTATGAAGATTATGGGAGCTAATGCCTATAAAGTCATAGAATGTCTGCTGCCTGGTGGGGACTCAGTAAATAACTCCTGCGGGTCTAATGGTGATTTCTTTGCTCTGTCTCCCCAGCGAGTGGCATTAAGCCTTGAAGATGATGGACTGCCCTGAGGATGGGACCACTCCCTTCGTGCCTCATGGAATTCAGTCCCATGCACTACACTCTCTGGATGGTGTATGCCTGGATGAAGGGGTTTCTGTATATGGGTCTGTGTGTGTGTGTGTGAGAGAGATTTCTTTTTAATTTATGTTGCGGAAAGGTAACCACAAAGTTATGATGAACTGCAAACATCCAAAGGATGTGAGAGTTTTTATATGTATAATGTTTTATACACTTTTTAACTGGTTGCACTACCCATGAGGATTTCATGGAATGGCTACTGCTGAGTGACTAACATGATGTACATAACCAAATGGGGCTGATGGTACACTAGCTTACTCATCATTTTAAAACTATATTTACAGAGGGTATTTGATTTGGGGGGAGCTTTTTTCGATTTTGGAGTTTGGGGTTTTGATTTTTTTTTTTTTTTTTAGTATATAAAATGATTATGCTTTGTGGCTATCCATCAACATAAGTGAAAAAAAGGAGAAAACACTTCAACTCCCTCCCCCACTTAGATTATTTATTAACATATTTCAAAAAATAAGATTAGTTCTATAAATAATTTAGAGACACGAGAGTATTTATTTTTGGTATGATTGGCCCACCATGCAGACTCTGTGTGCGTTTACGTTTCTATGTGTATGTGTGTGAGAGAGACAGATCTGTAGAGAAGAGGCACACCTGGGGCTGTTCGAATCCATACAGAGAAAAACATGGGGAAACAGTCCACAGAGGGGTATCTGTAGTTTTCAGAGAAGCCTTTGGAAATTTCACTCAAAAAAATGGATGCTGTGGTTTGTGTAAACACCTAGTGGAAGAGGCAGATCTTTTCCACCTCTGGCAATTCCTGGGACTCTAGTCAGTCAGGCACAGCCTTTCAGTTCACCTGTGGCTGCTGGGACTCCCGCTCGGGCTTTCTCTTCTGTGTCTGAGGCCAGTGCACAGACTTCACACGGTGCCAGAAGTTCTCGTGAGCTCAGGCGAGAACACACCCGAACCTTGGCTCCTTGTTTTAAAGTTCGGCATTTCAAGTAACTTCCTTTTCCTTCAGGACGCTTGGGTTGAATTCATTATGTTTCCTCTGAAGCACTTCTAGGGTGCCATCCTTCCTCGTGGAGAGCTAAGTGGAGACATTTCTAGAACAGCCCAAGTTTCCTGTAGAGACTGGCTCAGGCACTGAACCTCTGAGATATGCAGTGGGTGAGGGTAAGGACAGTGGAATAGGTTCTGTTACATCTCTATTTCTTCCTTTCCCTTTCCCTTCCTCTCTGCCATTTCTTGTAAGTGGGGGAAACAACATAGGCTTGCTACCATCGTGTGTTCATTTAGATGAAAGTAGCTTTTGGCTGAAGTCAGAAAAAGTGGCCAAACTTGAAGTCCTACAAGGGGGAAATGGCATATACAACAGTATCGTATATCGGATATATATGTTCACACAGGGATTTGGTTTACTACTTTGTAAATAAAAGGAAAAACTCTGGGTATATGTATAGATTTTTTTTTCATTATGGACACTTTGTTTTTGCTGGGCATTGGGAGAGGTGGGAGAAGTGCTCTTTTCTCTTTGTGGGGTCTACCATTGAAAACATAATCCTACGGTCCCAGAAGGAATTCTGTCCCCACCAGCTCTCTCTTCCAAGATCTGATCTTAAGTCTGCTGTTCTGCCACTTCACTCCCACCAGACAGCCAGGGACAAGACATGTGAACAAATTGAACAAATTCTGACACCCCTCCCCTCAGCAGCCCCCAACTCAATGAAGCTTGGATATCTCACCAGCTTGATACCCTTCGCATTTGCAGGCAGGCATTCAGGAGTTCTATAACCCTGCTCCTAGAACCTTTCTTCAACATCACTCATGATCTCCTCACTTCTGAGAAAAACAACTGTGTTCTGGAGCCTTGGCCCTATGCTCTGCATAAACAAGCAATTTCCTCACGATATGCATGTGTTGTAGTCCTGAAACATTCATTGAGAGGCAATTGACCTAAAGACCAATACCAAATAGGATTTTAAGAACAGGTGGCCAACTCCTATGGAGCTTAATCACTTACTACTATTCTTTCAAGAATGGAAAGTAAAATTATTTTTGACTGGAGAAAAATGACAAAAACATTGAGATTTACACAAAACAAGCAACTTTTTCTATGACCCGTCTCCAAAGAAATAGAATTCCCTGGGGAAATGAGAACAGTGACTAATGTGTAGTTTCTAAACTTTCAGTCAGATCCTGGCCTTCCCAGAAAAAAAACAAAACAAAAATGGAGTCAGGATGGTTCAGCCTGAGATCTCAAAAGGATGATGAAACACAGCTTTCTCAGAGACATCCATGTTTCCTGAATATGCTACAGCTGCAGTTTGGAAGAGGCGGCTATGGAAGCAAGCTACGGAAGACAAATTGCAGAGTCCTCACGTGTCCGATGGTAGTCAATAAGATGAAATCTGAGGAGGTCACGTCCATCCTCCCTCTCTAGTCTTGGAGGCTTCTGAACCTCATTTTGAGGTGTAATTGCATTTCTGTTGCCTTTTGCCCCTGTGCTGTCATGTATCTACAGCCAATAACAGATCATAGAGTCATTGGACTATAGAGCCGGAAGGAAACCTAGACATAATGCCAGGAGGGTAGAAGATTTATCGGGCATTTTTTTTCTCTGTTTAAAAGAAACTGGTCCCAGACCTTTTCCTTCCTTTCCTTCTCTAGGAGACTACTTTGGGCTGCCTGAACATTGTACCAAACCTGCTATCTAATGGCCTGTCTTCTCAGTGGAATTATGAAGACGCTGGTAGAAATAGCCTTCCAGAAACAGAAAACTAAAATTTTATTTATTTACTCTTGATAGCCTGATTATTTATTAAATAGGTTGAGGTAACCTTTAACCTCAAGATGAGATCGGAATTAAATTTATGGCAATAAGTACTGTGATCCTTCCAATTTTCTCTGTGATTGCAGTATATCCATTCACTAAACCATTTGCCAGGTACCAACTAAGTGCCGGGCACTGCAGATGGACAGGTCACTCAAGTGTTTTCTGTCCTTACGGAGTTCACTGTAACAGTAGAGGAAGACATGTGGAAACAAAAAAGGAATAGATTCTTTTCAGAGTACTCTTAAGGCACAAAGGGAGAGAGAGGTCATTTCTACATAAGGAGATGAGGAATGGGGTCAAGAAAGGCATTGTGGAAGTGACCTTATACTAAGTCTTGAAAACTAAGTCGGGGTGTCTGGGCTGCCCCCCAGGCAGAGGAGGACACGGAGACATGAAACAGCATGAGGACTGGAAGGAACTGCATGTAATTCATTGTAATGAGCAAAAGGCTCAAGGGGGACTAGGCAAGAAATGAGGCTGAATGGAAAGACAGGTTCAATGTAAGCACTTTATAGAATACTTATGTTTAATTTCTGCTTCAATTATGCAAACATTTCTTAGTCATTTATTGTGTACGAGGCACCAAGGGCATCATGGAGAGTTCATCAGGATGCATCGCCAGCACTTTGCAGACATGACAGTCTTTAGCCTCCAGCTTTCCAGTGGCCAAAGGGAAATAGTGACTGTGTTTCATATGTTTGAGTTGACCTTTTTTTGAATATAAGGGTAGTGGGATTTTCACAGAAGCACTCCATGTTGTCAAGAGCCTCTGAGATTTTCTCAACACCGAGAAAACGAAATTTTGGAGATGGGTAGCCTGCAGAGGGAATCCCAAGCACTGTCTAGTCAGGTGCTGGTGGGAGTCGGGAGAGAGCACAGGAATGTGAGCCTCACTCCTCTCCCTAACTCCAGTTGTACTATTTCACAGAATATAAATGAGTTAGGAATTAAAACATTCAGAGTAAATAACTTCTTTTCCCATCAGTGCATGAAGATAGAGTATCGGAGTCTTCTCACACTGTATTTTCAAGGTACTGGGGATTTTCAGGAGACAGAGAACTTAGAGGTGGAGGAATTACAGCTTCAAATTTTCAGTTAATATAAGAAATCGGGAAGCTATTCATTCAGGCTATGCACCATGTGCATAGTCAAGAATCAGCAGAAACCCTCTGCATTTGCAAACACTTTGTGCTATAAAAAGTAACTTTAAAAAAAGCCACCTGTATATGTATATATATATTTAAAAACATGAAGGTTTTGATACTTTTTTACAAAAACTACAAGAGAAAACATACCTGTACAAACCATGTGTTTTAAAGTAGCATTTTGTTCTATACAGCTGTTGTTCATTTGGGGGTGAAGTACTGGTGTGCAGACTCCATCACATTGTACCCAAATGAATTTTCCTTGTCTGTCTTCCCCCCAACACCCTCAAATGACCGTATTTGATGTAACAGGCATGTTAGAATGTTGGGTCACACTGACGGTTTCTGCTTTTTGTCTTGTCATTCCAAGTTTCATTAGCTTCTGTATTCAGTGCCCTCTGCAGTCTGGTTTTTGTTCCAGAAGCAGAGGGTGGCGAGCTGCATCTCACTAGCTATACTGACATCATCTTGGTGAACGAAAAACCAAATGTGAACATTTGTAAAATCAGTGCACTGTTTCTAGAGAGAGATTAAATTCATTTTTTAAAATCTGAAGTGTTGTTTCATTATGATGCTTTAATGAGGGGTGGGGGGGGTAAGCTATCACTGATTGAGTCCCTAATGTGTACCCAGTATTCAACATAAACTATTTTAGCCTTCAACAATCCTGTGAAATAAATACTATCAATATTACTGTTCCCATTTTGTAGGTGAGTGGGTGAAGGAACTACCCAAAGTCTCATGGTTACATTTAGTACCCCCAAAGTACCTGTAGCGCATGCTACACGTGGCATTCTCTGCCTCTTCATCAGGCTAACTCCTGCTTGTCCTTGATACTCCGCTTAAGACTCTTCCTCCACAAATCCTCCATTCTCGGACTCACACCTAACTCCTAGGGTTAGGTGGTTTCTGCTTCCACAAAAATTTTGCCTATTTGCATACCAATACTTCTGCCCCGCCTCCGCTTCCAGGCCACTGAGGTTGCTTTCACCAAGGACCTCCTTGATTATAAATCTTACAAATATTTTCAGTCTTTATCTTCCTTGCCCTGGAAGCAGTAGTTAACATTGTTGGCACTCTTTCTTGGAATACTCTTGTTTTGGTTCACATGACACCATATTCCTGGTTTTTCCCTACCTCTCTGGCTATATCTTAATCTCCTTCGCCGCCCCTTACATTATGGTGTCTTGTCTCAAATCCATCCACATTTATCATCTCCATTGCCACTACCTGAGTACAGGTTACCATTATCTTGGACGATCATCATCATAGATTAGCAACTACATATCTGAACTTCATACTTTTTTTTTTTAAGATTTTATTTATTTACTTGACAGAGACACAGTGAGAGAGGGAAAACAAGCAGGGGGAGTGGGAGAGGGAGAGGCAGGCTTCCTGCGGAGCAGGGAGCCCGATTTGGGGATCCATCCCAGGACCCTGGGATCATGACCTGAGCCGAAGGCAGACTCTTTAACGACTGAACCACCCAGGTGCCCCCTGAACTTCATACTTTTTAATCTTTCCATTTTCCAATCTATTCTACAATATTGCAGCCAGAGTGATTTTTTCTAGAATGCAATAGGTCATGTCACCACCATCCTTTCTACTTTCTTGCTTAAAGCTCTTCATCTTTTTCCCTTGCATTAAAATCCAATACCTTTGGGTTTTAGCCCACACTCCTTAATATGGCTTGTAAGCCATTTGGCTTCTGCCCGTTCTCCAACCTCATTACTATATGCACAACCTCATTCTGTATTCTAACCACGCGGTTCTGGGCCCTCTATTTGGAACATTTCCTTCAGGAAGACTTCCCTTAGGCCCCTTGATTGGATTAGGAACCATCCTGTGTGCTTCCATAGTATTCTGTGTTTCCCCTATTTGTAACCTTTATCTCTACATTGTAATTCTTGTATGCTCCTTAATTGCCTCCTCTGCAAGTTCTGTAAAGGTCTGTATTGCTCACCATCGTATTCCCAGCACATAGCACAGTAAATGTGCGGTAAATCATGCTGAATTCAGGCACATCAAATACACAGACCGTGTTCTTTCAGCTATACCATGTTATCTCATGCCTCCAAACCTGGATCACTTTACAGCCTGACTGGAGTCCAGTGTCCTTTAAATTTTCTCAAAACTTTTGTTATTTGCCACATCTGCAGATGCTCAGATTCAGCAGTCACCGTATAATTTTTATAATTTCACTCTTGGACAAAAACCTCGTGGTAATTACCTGATGAATCTATATACTTAATTGCAATTACCACGTCAAGATTGTTGTGAGGATTCAAAAAACAAACATTTGTAAATGGATTCACATTCGTTAGGTGCTTAATACCTGGCGGTTCCCTTCTTTTTTATACAATTCCCGTTACCACCCATATCCAGTGTTTTCTTTTTTTTTCTATCTTTTTTTTTTTTTTTTTTATTCCTTTTCCTTTTTTCAAACAACATCTTAGAAAGCCCTTTTTTAAA